CTTGATAGGAAGAACTTTTGGAAGGCTCTTTGTTGAGACAACAAATGTACTTTTTTTATTATGGTAAAATATCACATGAGGTTTTTCACTTTAACCATTTTTAAGTGTACACTTCAGTGGCATTAAGTAGATTCACAATGTTGTATAACCATCACTACTATTTCCTAAACTTTTCCATCATCCAAGAGTCTTTAGGCCCATTAAACAGTAACTCCCCATTCTTCCCTCCTGGAAGCCCCTGGCAACCACAACCTTTCTCTTTGAATTTGACTCTTCTAGGCACCTCATAGAAGTGGACCATACAGTCATAGAAGTGGAACCATACAGTCATAGAAGTGGAACCATACAGTCATAGAAGTGGAACCATACAGTCATAGAAGTGGACCATACAGTCATAGAAGTGGAACCATACAGTATTTGTCCTTTTGTGTCTGGCTTATTTCACTTGGTGTAAGTTTTCAGGGCAATCCTTGTTGTAGCACATATAAGAACTTCATTCTCGGCTAGAAGCGGTGACTCACACCTGTAATCCCAGCACTTGGGAGGCTCCCAGCACTTTGGGAGGCCGAGGCAGGTGGATCACCTGAGGTCAGGAGTTCGAGACCCGCCTGGCCAACATGATAAAACCCCATGTCTACTAAAAATATAAAAATTAGATGGTGTGGTGGTGTGCACCTGTAATCCCAGGTACTCAGGAGGCTATGGCAGGAGAATCACTTGAACTCAGAAGGTGGAGGCTGCAGTGAGCCGAGATCATGCCAGTGCACTCCAGCCTGGACAACAGTGATACTCCGTCTCAAAACAAATAAACAAAACAGAAAAACCTTCATTCTCCATTATGGCTGAATAAGATTCCATTGTGTGTTTGTTTAGCCATTCATCTGTTGGGCTGTTTTCACCACTGACTGTAAATAATGCTGCTATGACTGTTGGTGTATCTGTCATGTTAGTAGAAGTATAAAGTTCATCTTGTATAATGCGGCAGAAAGAAAGGTGGGATACAGGATGATACGTAGTTTTAACTCAAGTTTAGGAGTTCAGAATTGAGTCTTAGGGAATGAGTGGGGTATATCCCCAAAGGATTTTTTAGTTGTGTTATGATGGCACCTTTAAGAATGACAAATGAGCAGCCTAAAGAACTCAGGGCGCGGGGGGCGGGGGTCGGGGCAGGGTGGTGGTAGTAGATGAATGGAACCTAGAGACCAGTTAGCAGCCGATCAACAGTCCAGGTGAGAGATACGAGGGCTTAAAGTAGGATGGTAAAGGAAGGTTACATGTAACGCATCTTTCACATTGCAAAGGAAATAAAGGGGTTGAAACTAACCCCAGGGTTTTAAGCCTGTATTACTTACTCTGTTACCTCTGCTATGCCCAGACTGAAGAATTAATGACCTTGAGAAAGAAAGATATTATGAAGTGGTTAAGACTTCCATTATTCACAAATGGTGTATCTAGTGAAATTTACAATTTGACTCTTTGAAATAGGGCAATTCCAGCTTCCAAGACCACTTTCAAATATACTTAAAATTTAGAGCTCAATAATAACAGACCTCAACCGGATGTCAACTGAACGGAGGAGGCTGACATCAGTACACGTGAACTAATGTGTAACCCCTTCTAATCAGAGTTGAACCCAACCCGTCCAGTCTAATGCCAGATCTCTGGGAGAGACCGTATTTACTGAGGGGGTGACTCCTAGCGACTGACTCAATGACAATGGCATAATCATGAGAGTTGCTGAGGGACCTGAAATAGGAACTGTTTCCATGGGGAGCCACTCCCCCACACTTGCTGGGCTTCAGAGAAAACTCAGAAAAAAACTGTTGTTTCAAATTTATCTTAGCAAAGTAACCTTTATCAATTTGTTCATTCATTCATACAAATATTGAGCACCACTTATAGAGGCACTATGTTTGGATGTGGGCCATCTGTGAGACCCATGGCATGCAGAAGAGATTCATTCAAAGAATTGGGTGGATAAATAAAAATTACAATCATGAAATTTTCTACTAAAAATGTTGCTTTGAAAGTTATCTAATAGGGAAAGCTGATCTGTAAAATCAGAAAGGGAACATTTGAGCTCAGATCTACAAAATTTGAGGCCCAGTAAAACAGGAATGAGAATAGTTCCAGCACTTCACCAGTGCAGTGGAGGGGGACAGGGATCCCAGAGTAAGCGGACACACTGTTGCATCTGTGGCTGGAGAAGTAGGTGGGGAGCAACCAGTCCATGCAAGGCTTCAGGCCAGTTTAGAAGAATTGAGGCCTTTCTTGGCAAAGAATTAATGGCTAAGTCCTCAAAAGCAATTGCCACAAAAACAAAAATTGGCAAGTAGGACCTAATTAAACTAAAGAGCTTCTGCACAGCAAAAGAAACTACCAACAGGGTAAACAGGCAACCTACAGAATGGGGGAAGTATTCACAGACTGTGCATCTGACAAAGGTCTAATGTCCAGAATCTACAAGGAACTTAAATAAATCCACGAGCACAAAATAACCCCACTAAGAAGTGGGCAAAGGACATGAACAGACAATTCTCTAAAGAAGACATACAAGTGGCCAATAAACGTATGAAAAAATGCTCAACATCACTAGTCATCAGAGAAATGGAAATCAAAACCATAATGAGATACCATGTCACACCATTCAGAATGGCTATTAAAAAGTAAAAAAAAAAAAAAAAAAAGGTCACGTGTGGTGGCTCACTCCTGTAATCTCAGCACTTTGGGAGGCCAAGGCAGGCGGGTCACCTGAGGTCAGGAGTTCGAGACCAGCCTGGCCAACGTGATGGAACCCCGTCTCTACTAAAAATACAAAAATCAGTCGGGCGTGAGTGGTACGCACCTGTAATCCCAGCTACTCAGGAGGCTGAGGCAGGAGACTCACTTGAACCCGGGAGGCAGATGTTGCAGTGAGCTGAGATAGCGCCACTGCACTCCAGTCTGGGTGACAGAGCAAGACTCCATCTCAAAAAACAAACAAAAACAAAAAGAATGTTGGTGGGCTGTGGAGAAAAGGGAACCCTTATACACTGTTGGTGGGAAGGTAAATTAGTTCAGTCACTGTAGAAAGCAGTTTGCAGATTTCTCAAAGAACTAAAAATAGAACCACCATTCAACCCAACAATCCCATTCCTGGGGATATACCCAAAGGAATAGAAACCGTTCTACCATAAAGACACATGCATGCATACGTTCATCACAGCACTATTCACAATAGTAAAGACATGGAATCAACCCAGGTGTGTCTATCCATGGTGGATTGGATAGAAAATGTGCTGCATACACACCATGGAATACTACACAGCCATAAAAAATGAACAAAATCACATCTTGTGCAGCAACATGGATGCAGCTGGAGGCCATTATTGTAAGTGAGCTAATGCAGAATCGGAAAACCAAATGCTGCATGTTCTCATGTGTAAGTGGGAACTAAACATTGGGCATACATGGACACAAAGATGGGAATAACAGACACTGCAGACTACGAGATGGGGGAGGGAGGCAAGGGTTGAAAAACTATCTATTGGGTACTATGCTCATTACCTAGGTGATGGGTTAAATCATACCCCAACCTCAGCATCATGCAATATACCCATGCAACGAACTTGCCCATGTGCCCTCTCAATCTAAAGGTCAAAGAAAAAAAAAGAATTGAGGCCTTGGTACTACGAGCAATAGAAAGCCAAAAACACATTTTAAGCACAAGGGTGACAAGATTACATTTGTATTTCTTGAAAGATTGCAAGCTATGGTGTAAGGGACTGGGATGATGTGGGTAAGAATGTGGGAACGAGTCAGTGAGCTACTGGAATAATCTAGGTATAGTGTTCTGGCTCGATTTAAGAGACAGTGAAGAAATGTCATTGGCAGGCTGGGAAAATGACGGGCGAGAAAGACACTGGTGCCCAAGTTTCCCAGGTTTCCGGCTCATGTAACAGGATGAATAGAACACCCATATGAATGTTTTTATTCACAGCAACTGCTTTGTAAGGTTTGCTCTTAGAAATGACCTCTTGTTATCAAGTTAGATGTCTTTTAATGTCCCTGAAATTCTGTGGTATTAAACCAAGTGGAAGGTGTTCTGTACCAGCAACAGTGGAGTGATGTGGAGATAGTGCATGTCAAAGCCCCTCGGAGCCAGTCTTTCTGCTGTCCCATCCCCATTTCCTGAGCAGAGCATATGCGTGCATGCATGCGTGTGTTAATAGCCACACTCATGGGGGAGGGTCAGATCCTTCTGTCACCCTCCTTCAGAGCTACATAGCTCTGATAAGAACTATTTGTCAAAATAAATGTCATTTCTGAGAACACAATTTTACATGCACTGATGGCCTGCCACAAAAATTTTTCTTTTTTTTAATCAAACAGTCCAATTTTACTACGAGTAAACACCCATATCAGTTAATCTGAAGCAGTAAGAAAGACCAAAAAAAAAAAAAAAAAAAAAGCATGGAAGGAACGTGTAACACTCATTTGTAAGTTAGAAGCAATTTCAAATTCGCATTCCAGACTCCATGTTGATTTTTTAAAATAACTAGGGTGGACATTGACTTAACAGAGCAATAGATATGCTGGGAAGAGGTGGATATAATGAAGGAAATGGATAACAGAGGCAGTGATTGTTAAAATGGGTCATGAGATTGTAGGCTGAGCAACCCAGCAGCCCTGTTTTATAGCAGAGCCTTGTTTCTTATTTAAAACAAAAAAACCTAAAACTTCGAGGATGCGATTCAATGATGTATCTTTTAAAGCCTTGTCAGGCAACCAAATCTTTAAATATATGTATTTTGTTCCCATCTTCAATCCCTCAAAGGGTACAGACACTGCACACTGCATATTCTGTTTTTTTTTTAATTTTTTCTTTTTTTTTTTTTTTTTTAATCTTGTAAAGACAGGATATCTCTACAGTGCAGATGATAAGGCCTTTGATGTCACGCAAATATTACTTCTGGACTAAACACATACAATACTGAAATTATTAAACATACAAACTTAGAGCTTTCAGTGCATTTGCCATTTTTATTTCGCTATGCAGAAACATACATTCACCATGGGCTGTGATGCAGGTGACCGTTTAATGGAGAATCTCTCTTTTTGAAGGCTATTTATAACTAACACTAAATAGTTTTAATTACAGTGGAAATTCTGTACAGTTTAAGGCTTGGCTCTGAACTAGAATGTAAATATGGACCAGATTTGAAAATAAAACACTTTCTTTTCAAGTAAAAGAAGAAAAATTAATTAAAAAATACACGGAAAAAGAAACTAAGAAAACAAAGCCACAGGAAGCCCAGCAGGTTCTCCTGAAGTGACATTTCATAATATTGTAAACTAACAAAAATACAGGTTTTTCTTCCCAAAATAATGACAATTTACATATTTAGGACTTGTTAGGGAACTCTGAAAAGCTCTCCGGATTGAACACAGACCAAACAAACAAGAAGGAAGAAATCGCATTAATATGCTAAAATCAGTACTACCTTATAACAAATTAAATGAGATACACAAAGCAAGATTGGAAGCGTTAAATATTTCCAGAGGGTCAGAGAGTCATTAATGTTTATGGGTGAGAGTAATAAAACCAGATGAAACAAGTACAAGTTGTTTACTGAATAAACTTGGTTATTGGCACATCTAACCTGGGGAAAATCTGACACACCGGACGGACCTAGACAGCTTCTAGCATTTGAGGGTAATCTTCGCTAATTGTAAACAAAAGGTTTGTTACCTAAGAAATTGCAATTTTGTTTAGACTTTAATAATAATAAACTATGAAAGGCATGAATTGTGTATGTGTTACATGAGATCACGGTTTATATTGTTGGTTATGAACGTGCAGGTATAGCTGAAAACTGAGACATTTTGTGAAAATTAAAAACGCTGCTCTTTTGTAATTTTATCATTGCTTCATGCATTATCAGTTTAGTGATGCTGAATCAGATTGCTTTATTATGGGAAGATCTCTCTGCCAGTGTCTTTATTAATGGTCAAGGTCCATTCTTCTGGACTGAAATTTTCCATGGACAGATACAAGTCAGTTGGGTTAGAAGAGGGAATTCCATATAGGCTCTGGTTTTCCTAACGGTTTGCATGACTGCATTCATGTGCAAGCTAAGTTATTCCTGCAAGAAAGAGATGGGATTAGTTACTCATTTGAAAACAACGGAAAGATTTTCTCAGATCAAGGGCACAAAAAAGGTATCTTGGAGGTTCGAATGCTCATTTGGACAAGAGGCCACGACATTCCTGCATTAAGTCACTGCCAATTATATGCTTTCTCTTAAGTAATTACAACAATGCCCACGTGGCTGAAGCTCATGGAAGAAAATTTTTTTTTTTTTTTTTGCTATCTTCCAAAATATATTATTCATTTGAGTAAAATGAGTGGTTTTTGTATTCCTCTTTTAAGAGATGCCACACATCAATTTGTTTCTTAAACCGATGTTAGAGAACTTACTGATACATTAAATCTCTTAAACGTTTTATCACATCACCAAGTTGTGCAAGTCGCTCGACTGCTGCATTCAGCATTCAAAGCCCGCTCAGAAACGCTGACGGCCCCATGAGATCTGGCATGGCAGGTTAGTATGCATGACAAGTCTGTGTACACACAGATGATACAGTCTGCTCATGGCGCTGGCCAAGCAACCACCGGAAAGGCGTCTGTTTTCTAAAGGACCACAAGACTGCATTTTTTGCTTCCTCCTGAGACAGTGCTACACTAGGGAGAAAAATCATCCCAAAGAATACAGGAAATGTAAGACATCCAAAAAGAAAGTGAGTGCTCAGCTTTCAAATTAAAAAACAAAACCAAAGACCAAAGCATAAACAGGCTATAATCAAACATAGTTGAAGAGAAAGCTTACGATGGGATAATGTTGCCCTCGGAAGGAGAAAAGGGTATGTATTATTTCCCTAGTATTTGGAACACACAAATTGAGCCTCTCAGAGCAAAACTGCCTTAGTTCCAATTAGGCCACATGGCAAGTAAAATCAAATTTGACATTACAAATTTGGATAATGAAAGAGTGCAGGCCATGGAATAAAAGGGAACGCCAGGAAGACCACACAAGCATAGACTCTGCTCTTCCTTTATCCTCTGACTGGCAGTGCATGCAAAAACTCCACAAGAATGGAAGCTCTAAATGTGAGAAACCCATAAACCAATTCTCCATCCTCTTGGTAACCAGCCCGACAAATGCCAGTGAGAGAACAGAGGAAAGGAGGGATCAGGTGAAGGATGAGAGGGAAGTACCCCATGCCTCATGCCAGCCTAGGCAAGCCTAGAGAATCGGCGTCACCTCTTACCTCTGGTCAATCCTCTCCATCTTCTGGTGTGATCTCTGTCTCTTTATGGACCACTACTTTGGTCACTGACATGTCAGGGTGCTGCTCTTTGGCCTCTTTAATTGCCTGAGCCAGCGCCTATCCCCGGGAAATCACAGAAGGGCAGAAACAAAAAGGAGGTGGAACATGCATGATCAGTGGCGAGGTGGAGACTTACGAGCTAGATCTATATCCACAATTTACAAATGAGGTACAATGATTACAAAAGGAATCATAAATCACATATTGGAAAGTTAATTCGGGATTTTTTTCAGAATACATGCTGGACTAGAGGAAGAGCATTGAGACTGTAGGGCCAACAGGTTTTTCTTTGTTTCTCTGCCAGGGTATTCACCATCTCACACATACTACCTGGTCATGGTCAATGTCTGCATCCCCTGTGATGACTATTCGCTTCTCGATTCTTGTCTCTGAAATGCCCCCTTTCACAGTCTAGAAGACACAAGGAGAAGTTTTATGAATTTACTCGATGGGAGAAACCATCATGGTTCAGGGAGGAAATGGCAGAAGATGTTGACAGGGCATTAAGTGACATCATTCATTCTTTGAGAACTGAAATTAGAGTTCTATGGCAGTTATTTAACATTTTTAATTCCAGAGGTGAGGACAGAGTGGAGGCCTTTGGGTCTGGATGGCCTGTGTTTCTGGAACACCTACCACACGCCAAGGGCTGGAGTAAGCATTAAGCTTAGGATATCAGAATGTATACCCCTAAAGGGGAACTCGGCCATGAGGACAAGTGCATCAGAAATCTAGGGGTTGTAAAAGCTGCCCTTGCAGCTACCCCGGCATCCTGAGCGTCAAGCCACCTTGTGCTTGTGCAGCCCAACCTGTGAGGAGTTCTGAACAAGCACCTTCCTCCAGCTCACTCTCAAGGAATCCTCTTCTGGGTTCTCACTCCACTTACTTTGGTGATGTGCGTAGTGGTGGTGGTACTGGTGGTTTCAGATGTGATCGTCTGTGCACTCATCAGCACGCCTGGCTCCAGATCTGTGCCTGGATCGACCTAAGGCAGCAGAGGAACAGACCCCTCATCCAGGTGCTCACACCTGCTCTTCAGAAGTTGGCTACGTTAGTTAAGGCATTACGACAATTTCACTATCTCCTATTACATAATCAATGTGCTCTTCAGAGTCTGAGAGCTCCTCCCAAGAATAAGAACTAAGGGCAACCAGAGATCACTGTCATTAAAAAAACTAAGGTTTCAGAAATGTGAGTGGTGGATGGGTGAGTGAATATTTTTCTTTCTCTGCAGCTAGGGAAACAGGTTTTTGGGGCTTTTTCTACACTTCTAGACACATAAAGACTTGGTTAAGTCACCTGCTGCTCCCTCATCACTAATAAAATGACCATTATTGCATCACTTTTAATAGAGATGGTCTGGTTGCTGGATCCTCTAAGTCTCATGAATTAAATATCGTGCAATTCTATGTAAACACACTAGGCCACAGAGGGGTGAAATGAGGAGCCAGGGCTCTGTCTTCACAGAACATCTAACCTGTGATGATTCATATGTGATGGTTTTGGTTTCGGTGTGAACTACTGGCACTTCCTTGGTAGAAATTTCTAGCTTTACTCCTCCTGGTGAAACACTGCCAAAACTGATGGTTTCCGTCTTCACCGTTGAGGACTGTGCCAAAGGGAAGTAAGCAGAGCGGCTGTTACAGTTTGCATGAACACACTGTTGTCTTCCTTTTCCTCTTTGGTAGTTATAAGCACAGGTTAGTATGCAATAAATGTTTATGTGGAGAGGAAGCTGGGGAACAAGGCATACAACATGCACATGTCAAACAGTCTCCTGGACTCTTACAGCATTTTTATATGAAATGTTCTAAGTAAAGAAAAACATTTTAAAGCCAATAAGAAAAAAGTAAGTCCTCTGTTTAATAACTTCTTAGAAAGAAAAAACTAAAAATGAGACATTAACTCCCCCAAATACTTCAGGAATCTCAATAAAAGAGGATAAAGAATAAAGTTCTGGCATTTAGGACCTGGGCAAGCATGGTTTTGGTGCTTCTGGAAAAGTGCACTGATCAGAAATAAATGTATCACATTTTCTAATATCTTGGCCAACTTTGCATTTCCCAACTTTACTGCCAATTATAATAATTTCAGTGACAGTAGAAACCATTTCCTGGAGATATATTATCAATAATTAAGAGATATGTTTGCATGTGACCCCAAAGTTGGAAATCGGCATGCAGACTCCTAACAGGTACGAAAGAAGGAAATGAGAGGAGAAATACACTACACATGGGAGAGGCCGAAAATGAAACTTAGCTCCGCCTTTATGCTGATCTAAATTTCCAGGCATCCTATCTCAGTTTTATTTTAGTGATAAAAGTAACATTAACTACTAGTTACCTCAAAATGAGGTTTTTGTTCCAAAGTTTCCGAAACGTGGATGGCTGCACTCTGCTCCTCTTGTCGCTCACGGGAAGCAGCGGCTGTCTCTTCCTGTTCCAGGACAGCTTTAGCGACCTCCTCTCCTCCTTCCTCTTTAGCCCCCTCGGTCAAGGCAGAGCCTTCTTTCCCTTTAATGCCCGTGAAGGCGGGCTGTGCTGCAGCATCCCCGCTGTCTCCCACCGAGTAAGAAGCATCCCCACTCGCGTGCACCACATGCCGCTCCTCCACCAACACGGTCTCCTGCACCACCTTCTCAGTGCTCAGCGGCAGGCGGTGCACGGTGGGCTCCGTCTCTATTCCGCTGGACTCCGTCTTGGTTTCCATTTTCTGCATGGGAAGAGATTGCGGCATCAGTGGGACCTTCCATCAGCCACAGGTCAGAAAATAACTAAAGCCGCCACTCGCCAGGATGTCTAAAGCCAGCATCAAGTGCTTACAACCAGAAACACTGACAAAAAGTATCAATGAGCTTTCACTCCTCCCACCGGAATCTCTCATGCCTGCCCCTGCCCCTGTTGCATGCACTGGAACCTGTCCGGCGGCTTCAGGACATCGCAAAACAAACGGAAGGCGGGATAAACTGCAATTAACAAAACAAAAACCAAAGCATTGCAGCGCATTCACGTTGGTTTTGGCTGCTGTCTTAGACTCAATTGGTGAGATATAATGCCTTTAGAAATTAAATGCCATTAAAAGGTCTCAATATGATCGCCTTTTGAATATCTGAAGTACATTCCTGAGATGCAACTAAAGGCATGTGACAGATATGCCAAGCAGGCACAAAGGACAGTAAAGTGAAGACACCTTTGAGATGCTGAAGGCAAAAGCCAGTTGGATGCAACACACACACACACATCCAAAAAAGGGGAAGGAAAGGCACGTGGGCACATTCAGAAACACCAAGGACGAAAACAAATGGCCACCTGAACCCAGCTTTGAGAAGTAGAAGTAACCCCTCCTATGAATTCTGTTGGTTTTCGCGCAGACTCTAATAAACTGAAGATTTCAGAGCCATCCATGAGCTTTTCCCCAGAAGACTGCTTAGTCTGAGTGAACAAAGAAAGGCAGAGTCAAGCACAAAAGAGAGACACAAACTCAGGCACGTAAACATTCACAGCTTGTTAGACAAAATCGTAGGCAGAGACAGGAAGGAGGAAGAATGAAGGAATCTCAGAGAGTTTGGAAACAGAAAAGAATGGGAAATAAAACAGAAAACTGGGGTGACCAGCTGCTCTTGTTTGGTAAAGCAGAGAGAGTTATTAGGATCAGGGTGGCGCCGATCTAAGCAGGTAATTTTTTTTTTCCCCTTCATTGCAAGCCACAGCAGCACTATCACATCTTGGGGACGGGGAGCTGGAAATAAAATGGAAAGTGTTTTAATGCTGACTTTGCACTGCAGTATTGATTTAACCATGAAAAAAAATAAAAAAGCTGGGTTGGCTGCTGTCAACATAAAGCCAGGCAGCAAGAGAAACGGAAAGGTTTGGGGTGGAAGGGGACTGCCTCAAAAACTGTCATGCTGGAATTGCAAACTGTGGCCCCAATGAGCGACACTGGTTACCACTACTCGGGAGGCGGACGACTCAGTAACGTAATGAGCAGTAGCAACGGTAAAGGCTGGTTCCTGGGAATATCTCCATTCGGACAGGCTCTTCCTTCGGGGACCAAAGAGGCCCACTTTTAACACCTCACTCTCAGGCACTTGCTCTGTTTTGCTGAAGCGTCTGTCTTCCAGGCCAGGGAGGACAGCCATGTCCTTCCCCTGCTGTGGAGCCTTCTCGAGGTCATCTTCTTCAGGACTCTGCCGGCGAGACTCAGCCTCCTTGATGGGCGCCAGGGATTCGGACAATTTCCGCTTTGTCGTCTGCACTTCGGGTCCTCTCCTGGATTTCTCATCGGCGAGGGCTTCCAGGACCTCATACTCTGCCAGGCCGGGAATGATCTTCACGGACTCTGACATTTCTTTCTCCATTTTCTGAAGTGCTTCCATAGTGGAGGGCTGCCCCACTTGCTCGCCCTCTTTAGCTTTCCCAGTCATAGTAACAATTCTGCCGGAGACAGTGTCATAGGATTTTCCTAGAGTGTATATTTTCTGTTTGCTGTCTTCTTTCAGTTGCATTTCTCGAGCCAAGTCTTCGAAGCTATGCATTTTAATAGTGCCAGATTTTAATATGTCGGCTGGGAGGTCACCAGTTCTACTGCTCACGGTCACCACCTTGTAAGTCACAATCTTTTTCGAATCACCATCAACTACCTCAGTTGGTATTTTGTCTACAATAACCCAATCCTCTGTGCCCTATATTTGAAATATAAAAGCTAAATTAGAAATTCTGATGGTATCTCATTTCTAAAATAAGAACCCTTTAAGAAAACCAGGGCAACTGCTACATGCAGGTCTGTGATGGAACTGTACAGTGTTCATGTTATTATCTAATAATTATGGCTGCAATCTCTTCTCTGAAATGATAAATTAGAAACTTCAGCTCAGAATACATTCGGTAGGTAGAGCTGCAACTTACTTAAACTGGAACATACTTTGCAGTACATTTTTTGAAGAACAGATTTGTTCTTATGATAAATTTTGGATCATTTTATATTTCAAGATTAAATAACATTATTGATGTTGTTCTACAAGTTACTTAGCTTTACGTGTGTGGGGATAAAAAGTTTTCCTTGTTAAATATAATCTATACTTCATATACTATTGTTCTTACAAAGAACTTCCTGACATTCTACAAATTTATGTAAGTATTTTCCATATTTGTAAATTGTGTTTCCTTATATAGAGAATTGAATCCATGATAGCACTTATTATTCAATAAATATTGAGTGTGACTGTGTTCAAGGCATTGTAATGAAATACTTCCCACAAAAGGGACACTATTAGAGCTTCTTGTAGTGATCTGTACATTGTTCAAGTCTTACTTTTTTTTTAAGAGATGGGGTCTCCCTATGTTGCCCAGGTCAGCCTCAAACCCTTGGGCTCAAGTGATCCTCCCATCTCAGCCTCCCCAGGAGCTGGGACTACAGGCACATGCCACTGTGCCTGCTCCAATCTTATTTACAAGTGAAGTTCATTGGCTCAGGAGTTTCTCTCTCACTTTCTCTAGTGTTAGTTCCAGTAAGGCAAAAGAAATGAAAGCTAACAAACTTTTGTATTCAGAGAGGCAGAACACAATGTGACCAGGTAGGTTAATAGCTTCACAGATTACAGAGGAAAGAGATATCAAACCAGGTGAGTGCCTTGGTTTACGTTTTAAACTAGGATGTTTTCTAGAAACTTCTGTGTTTATTACAGCCTGAAAACTTAAATCTAGAAATACGTGTGCCTTTAAAAATATCACTACCGGTTGATCTACATGTTATTGCTAGATGAAATGAAATGAATTGAAAGAATAACCTCTAGGGTTGATGGGACAGTTTTCTGGAAAATTATTTGACGAGAAGTAACCACAGAGTCAGCAGAGTCTCCTTCCTGCATTTTCTTTATCACACTGGGCTAGTGGGGAAACCAATAAGAATTCAGAACTTTCACAATCAATCAACATCATCTAAGTTAGCACCACTCTACAGGTAAAAACAGGCAGGAAAACAACATTTTGGCAAGATTATTATTCAAAAGTAAGTCAATGACAACATACAGAGAACAATCAGCTTGGATTAGAAGCCATAAAGAAATGATGCATAACTGCTAACTAAAATATTAAGAAAATTCAATTTTCCCTTCCCCAGAATCTAACTCCAAATTATGTACCTACCTTGGTTTTAAACAAGATAAATTTAAAAGGGAAAATAAAAACTAAAAAACATTTTAATGACACTGAAGTCTGAAGACCAATTTCTTCTGGAAAATCCTTTATGTTTGGTTTTTACCTGAGACTCAAGGAATGGAGCGCTTCCTTGCTGCAAAAATATAACTTTTTCAGAAATCTCTGTTTCTTCTTTGGTCTGTTTGAATAAAGGGGGTTGGGTTGGAGAAGAGGAAGTAGACAGTTTCCAAAAAGGCAAGTTAGGAAGGGAGTTCTTTCATTGTATTCTATCTATCTATCATCTCATATATTCTCATAATATTCATTCATTTTCTTCCTGAAGGAGTAAATTATTGTTTATGCATTTGAAAAATGATCTGAAACTACCTCAAAATTTAGTTTTTTCCAAAGAGCTCAGATTTTCTGAAACTTTGGGGTTAACTTCGGGGTTTATATAACTCAAATGTTCTTCATTTCTACAAACACAGAACATACAAGAACAATATAAAGGCATTTATTCTTGGCATTTAAACCATGTTTATGTTGGTATTAAAAAGTGGGTATTTGAAATAAAACATTAAGACATTTTTTAAAAATTTAAGTTAGGAATTAAGCCTGACTTCTATTTCTGACAAGCATCTTAGTGTATTCCCTATTTAGGTGCTGCCTGTTACAGAGTAGTGAAATGCACACAATGTCACCGCATTAGCCACTAATTTAAATAAACCCAGTTATACTTAGCTGGATTGATTTACTGTCCCACAAGTAAACAAAAAACACTCAATGGCTTTATTTGAACTTTTATAACATGGTCAATAATTTTTTAAAGTCAATTTCAAAATATCTTGCTGGAAAATTAAGTATATCAATTCATACTTTAACATAAAAAATTAAGAAATATTAAGTATTTCATGTTAGGAATTAGGTTTTTGCTTTTTAACTACTTTTTGTTTTTTTCCTCTAGTATTAAATAGGCACAATTCAGGTGGCAACACATTAGCTACCAAGCCTAAGTTGAATCAAGCGTTCAACTTCACAGAGCAAGGACAGAAAGGATATTTTGGAAGATTAACTTAAAAATAACGATGGAAAGTTCGAAGTTTCTAGACAAATGAAACTTTTAAAATACATCTTATCATTACAAACAATATAATTTTATGAGAGCTATTTAAAATTTCTTTTTGTCTAAAAATCTACCAGTACTACATTTAATCATTTGTTTGCAAGAGATTGTAGGGGAACATCGGAATATTCTGCAGGCCCTACTGACAGATTTTGATAGTATCATTCTCAAATGACTCTTTCTAATGAGAAATAAATAAGCCATTTTCAGAGGAGGAAAACAAAAACAAAAAAATCTCTGTCCCACTGCATTTTGGAGGACGGTATTGGAAAAGATAAAATGTACCATGTGGAATCATTAAATGCGGATTTTGTTTCTTTTCCTTTTTTGTTTTCTTTTTTTCTTTTTTCTTTTTTTTTTTGCTTTTAATCATAGCCTCTTTTGCAAACAGAAATGAGAAACAGCAAGGAAAGGTCAAAATTATAGGTAGTTTTCAGAATAACAGTGCTAGGTCTCTAATTATAATCACTGAGCTAAATATTATTCCTAAGATAAAAGCTTCACAAAACCCCCAGCAAAACAGTGGTTTTCAGCATATCCTGGTGTCTGAAACCAACTAATTTAAAAAATGCCTATGTCTTATAATTGAAAATATTAACAGTGTCTACATTCCAAACTGTGTATGTCCAATAACATAAACAGGTAACATAGGGAGTAGATTTTAAAATGTAATTCTATAGATGGTCAACCTCCCAATATAGTTAGTCTAATTAAATAGAGAAGTGAAGAGGTACTGATAAAGAAAAGGTGATCTAAAGATTCACTTTTATTAGGGGTTAGGATATAGTCAGATACATAGCCCAACCATTTCATTTAGTTACTTAAACATTATAAGTTATTAATCTTAATATCATAATTGGAAAACAAGGCCCTATACTGGCACACAAAATTCATACCAGTGTCATTTCCTGTTGGGTGATTAAAGGTTTCTACAAATAAATTTTAGGGAATGGGCAAATTTGCAAATACAGAATTTGCAAACCATGGGAACTGACTATAGTAATCGTCTTGCTTAAGGAATTACTGTACAGTGAACACACCTGTAAAACTAGCACTCACATAAAAGAGAGGACAATATTGGTGCAGCATGCATACCAGTAGGTACTGCTTTTTTTATTGTGATTTGGGAACTTTTGGTATTCAAGTAACCACTAAAGAATATAACTCTAACATGGACAAGACTTAGATGCATCATGAAAGCCTGTCATGGGAAGGGTTTGTGGACAGAGGATGAACCTGGGCACACTGCACATACCACACGCCTACCCTTCCTATGTTTGGTGGGCCCTGTGTGTGAGTTTATTTGCCTATTTTCTAAAGCAAATGAGAGTTAGATATTATTTGCTGCTTTGGGGCATCCTTGCTACTTGTCTGCTATTAACTCAAATATCTGAAACTTGAAACAATCGGCAATCAAATTTCCATTTTATATAGGAAACAAACATAAAATTCTCAGGACATAATCATCATTATTAGCTTGCTGTATATAATTCTAACTATAATTTTCTTTGAATTGTTCATAAATTGGTAGCATTTTATAGAAATAATTATTATAACAATTCAACTACTATAGATACAACAAAACAAAGAAAAAAGATGGTCACATTAAAACTCAAAAGATCTTTAGGTTTTTTCTTCAAAATACCATTTTGTCACTGAGACAAAAAAAACCAAAAACACAACCAACTAAGCTTTGGGACGTCATAAGTTTGGGGTCACCAAATCTAAGTTTCTTTCTGATTCTGACACAAAATAACCACTACTTTATTAGAGATGTCAATTTTAAAAATTAAGTTAAATATTTCCATTTAGAAGTAACTGGATTTCCTTCTAAACTGGTTGATCACTGTTTAATTGAAGTGGGCTTTATTACAAAATAGAGTAATATCAAATTAGTAACTTACTTTAAAAAATATCCCCTCCAAAATAAAAATCTTTTGGTTATATATTTATAAACCAGTATGTTTTCTACGTGCATAACATACAAAGGACTAAAAGAAGGATAAAATTATCTTTTGTGCTTTCCACACACAAAAATAACAGAAACTATGGTTTTAATATAGAAATTGGCAATAATTTAGAGCAAAAGAACTTTCTGGTTTGTTCTGAAGGCTATCTACAGGGCCCTCGATTGGAGTATAAACTCGGTATCATCGATGACTATGAGGTCCTGGAGAAGAGTAGAAGAGAAGACAGGTCACTCTGCCTGGCCCTGCTGTCATAGGGAGCACAGCACCCTGACACCTAAAGAGATCCCTTTTCCCCTGGGACTTGAAGCTCCTTTGAGATGCTTTTCAGGGCTCCTTTGATAAGCAGGGTTAATCAGCCCTGCTTCTAAAGAGTTCTTTATATCTAGTCAAGCTCTTTCTGCTATGTCTCCATTCACAGTGTGACAGAGCACTGAGGGACTGGAAAACAATCCCGCGGACGCTGAAGGCAGTGAGGACACCAGCCTTTGCTCTTCTCCAGTTTAAATAACCAAACTACTTTGCCATTCTGCAGAGGGCATGTTTTTCTTCCTTAATGATGTTGAAAAAATCCTTTCTTGGCCTTCTCCAGTTTTTCTGCCTAACACAGAAAAAGCATTAATATCCAGGGAAAGTTCAATATATTCAAAACACTCCTTAAATCATTAACATCCTTGGGCTTATCAAACGTTAATTCTCTCACGTTTAGGGTTTTACAGATGTAAAAAAATTATCTTACTAGTCTAACGACCTAGACTTATGAAGTTCCCTTGTTTACTGGCACCACCTTTTAAATTCTCTAAGTTGTTCCCTAAACTTTCATTCAAAGTGGCCATTACTTAGCATTTAGCTTTGCTTTGCTTTGTTTTGTTTGGGGTGGCTAGTTTGTGTTTTTGTAATTTAATCCAGTATCTGATATCTTTACAGCCAGTAAATTATTTCCAAAAGATAGTAGAAATAGGGTAAGCCAAACTTAACCAATTATAATAAAATTTATGAGAGCATAACTTAATATTGTAAGGACTATTATTTAAATCAATCTGAATGTGAAATTTGTCTCTTGAAACGCAGTAGTTTGAATGGAACTGAAGTTTAATGGTACAAGAATATGTTGGTAATTGTACTTTTCATTTATTCTGCATAAAAGGGTCCTTTTTAAGTAATTCAAAAGGATATAGACCTATTTTTTATTAGCTAGGTTTGGGATTGTCATGAACATAGTGAGAGTGAGTTCTTGATTACTTTTGATAAACAGCTTTAAAAGGTTTAGAACATGATCAACAATAAGTGTAATTTAATTCTTATTTTTACTGCAAGGACTTAAGCACTGCATATAGAACACTGTTTAAATAATTTTTCTCTCACCAAAGCCTAAGTTTTAATGTTCTACTCTGTGTCCGTTTCCTGAACAAATATTTCCCAATAAAGTGGTCTTACAGAAAAGGAGGTTAACCAATACAATGCTAAAAAAGATGCAGTTTTCAAAAACTACTTTTTTTGAAACAGAGATAAAGCAACATGGTGCCTAACAGTAGACAGTCAAATTAGCACTACAGTAATTTTTGGTTCCCACACAATGGGAGCCCTGAAGTAATACCAGCTGAATCCTCAGAGTCTTTGGTTGTACATTTAAAAAGAGCTTCTTTGGGAGGCTGAGGTGGCAGACCATTTGAGGTCAGGAGTTTGAGATCAGCCTGACCAACATGTTGAAATCCCACCTCTATTAAAAATACAAAAAAATTAGCCCGGCATGGTGGTGCATGCCTGTAGTCCCAGCTACCCCGGAGGCTGAGGCAGGAGAGTCACTTAAACCCAGGGGGTAGAGGTCACGCCACCACACTTCAGCATGGGCGACAGAGTGAAACGCCATCTCAAGAACAAACAAACAAACAAACAAACAAAAACAAATAAAAAACCTCTGTCTCAAAAAAAAATCTCTTTAAATGTATAGCCAAAGTGTGTGAAATAACCTTACTTAAAAAAAAAATTCTGGCCACTACTTTCCCCATAAAACATCTACTAGAAACTGATTATAAATTTGGCCAGATGCGATGGCTCATGCCTGTAATCCCAGCACTTTGGGAGGTCAAGGTGGGTGGATCACTTAAGGCCTGGAGTTTGGTACCAGCCTGGCCAACATGACGAAACCCCGTCTCTATTAAAAATACAAAAATTAGCCGGGTGTGGTGAAGGGCAGCTGTAGTCCCAGCTACCTGGGAGGCCAAGGCAGGAGAATCACTTGAACCTGGGAGGTGGAGGCTACAGTGAGACAAGATCGCCCCACTGCACTCCAGCCTGGGTGACAGAGCAAGATACCATCTCGAAAACAAAAAACAAAAAACTTAATATAAATCAATTAAAATAATCAGTTATAAATAAAAATCAAACAAAACTCTTATTATATCAATAAAATCCTGGTGTAATATCTCAGAGTAAAATTGTCCTGAAATGCTATCAACTTCATGTTATCATTTAGTCAAACAATCTCAATGGGCCTCATCTTAGAACTGATGAGAATCAGTATTCAGAGTGCTTGTCAATGCAAAAGTAGAAAGCATATGCGGAAAAAGTATCAATCATGAAGGGAATACCCTGATTTCTCTCAGTTATAAAATCTAGGTTTATGGTCAGAATCAGCTGATTTTTCACGACAGTCTCCCTGTGGCTTCCTGCCCGAAGAACCATCTGATGCTATTACTCACTCCTCAGCCACTTTAATCATTTTACTTTTGCAGTTTTCTTTTGGAGCACTGAGCATCTCAGCTCAGGTTAAACATAGGTAGGAAAAGAGATTTTCTACCCAGAAGCTTGTCAAGTGCAATTCCACACCCTGTAGAGAAGGAAGGCAGGTAAACAGAATGTGAATCTGACCACAAGCCTGACTACTGACCTCTTCAGGGACAAGTGGTTCGATCATGGGGGCATCCTCCTGCCTGGCGGCCAGTCGCACGGGGGAGGTGGAAAGCCTCTTCTCCCATTCATTCGTTATGGCAGTGTCTGTTGAGGTTTCTAAGAAGGTTCTTTTTAGCTCGCTAATGTTGGTTTGATGTTTCATCAGGTCATCTTGAGTTTTTTCTAGCTCCTATATTCAGAACACAAAGTATCCAACAGTCAACGTTTCACGTGTGTGTTCCTTTCAGCTCTTTTGTTTGCTTTTAAAGTAATGTCAATCTTATTAGTAGTCAAAATAAAACAAAATTTTGATCAAGGCTCATGGCACTACCACAAACACTCTGGTGAAAATGTGATTTTCCCATGGAAAGGAAACAGAAAAAAAAAAAAAATCTAGTTCACACAAACACGAATACCAAAAGAATTTTGGAAGGTAAACTATAAAGAGTACCATTCACATGTATCCTGAGAGAATTAAAATAAATATACATACAGGAAAAGGGATCTATATCTAGGAGAGAATAAGGAATCAGAAGCTGAGAAGTCATCCCCACTTATTAACAGATGAGCACACAGTTCATGCATCACAGCACAAGCCCAGAGGTATTACACTAAAAGAAAAACAACACACACAAACATGCACTGGTATATACCAATACCAACCTCTAACATAAGATTACTATGTTTGACATACACATTTTCACCCTTTATTCGTTTAATCAGACTATTCTGAAAAAAGTGGAGAAGAAAGGGAAAAGTAAGGGACACAGTCGTCAAGGGAACAAATGCCAACCTACACACTGCACCAACGACATGGTAACCAGCTACAGAGCATGCTGAAAGATCTGAACGCTGTAGACAAACAACGACTTATCACACACTGGTTGTTTTTTTTTTATTGTTGCTGTTGTTTTGTTTTTAATGTTCTACCTGTGCCTTGAGCTCTGCGTCTTCCTCCTGGTCCGACTGCCAGCATCAAGAAAGAGTGGGAAATACAGTCTTACATGCAATTTACTCTAAGATTGAAGAACTATGGTCTACACAGACTTGCTAAATGTGGGCACTCGTATGCTCTTGCATAGGGATGCCACTTCTTTCTTATACACAAACCACAACATTCTCACACACAATTAGGAAGCTTAATAAGAATATAGGAACAGAGGAGTGAAAGAGTTCTTGCCTGGTGGGTCTTTGGCATTTTGACCAGCAGACACACGTGGTTGAGAGGGTGACAGCAAGGGTGTGGCAGGTTTTTCTTGATGAACATTAGAAATAGTTCAGGAAGCGAGGGGAGCCAGATTAAAATGAAAATTTGTAAGAATAGCTATGATGATACAATAATGAGAGCTCAAGTGCAGTGTATGAATCCCACCCTATGAGGTTAGTAATTATGATTCCCAATTGGTAGACCAGAGAACCCATGCTCAAAGACTATGAAGAATTTTGCATGGACGTTCCCACAATTTAAAGTTTCTTGAGACCTTGATTTTCTTTTTTTTTTTCTTTTTTGTTTTTTGACAGTGTCGTTTTGTTGCCCAGGCTGGAGTGCAATGGCGCGATCTCGGCTCACTGCAACCTCCACCTCCTGGGTTCAAGCAATTCTCCTGCCTCAGCCTCCCGGGTAGCTGGGATTACAGGTGCCCGCCACCACGCCTGGCTAATTTTTTGTGTGTTTAGTAGAGACGGGGTTTCACCATGTTCAACGGGCTAGTCTTGAACTCCTAACCTCAAGTGATCCCAAAGTGGTGGGATTACAGGCGTGAGCCACCATGCCTGGCCAATTTTCTTGAATGTATATAGTTAAGAACAAACTTGGGAGGGGAGAAGACAAATATGGGGCAAGTAAGAAAGTTTTTTTTAAAAAAGAGAAATCAACTACTATCAACAACAGCATGATTTCTTTTACAGATTTTAGACGGGACAATTTTTGAGATTTGAAAAAATACAGTTATCCCAAAGCCACCTCATTCTCCTGGTTTTTCTAATTTCAAGGAGCGGTCTAATCCCTGGACTGCTGTCTGAGTATCAGTAATTAGTAAGCAGGCCAAGCCACATGTGTATGCAGCAGCAAAGCTGTGTCTGTCACTATGGCTCTTGGACTCAGGACTGGGTATTATGCCCTTGTGCTAGGAGAGGAGACCCAGAATGAAATTCGAGGTGAGAAAAGGATCACACCAAGTCAGGGGCCTTAAGAAAATCATTTAGTCTACCTAGGTCTCCCTCTTCTTATTTGCCAATGGGGACAAGACTGCTTACTCTTCATATTCTATACTGACCACTGTTGTGTTGGCCACCTATAGAAGGGGAAGAGTTTCATCAGTACCACGGGGCAAACAGGAAATTGAAACACAGTGCTAATGTGCTGGTAACACGCCCATTCTTCAGTGCATGGGGGTTCACAGCTTTTCATTTTATTTTCAAACTTCATAATCTACCTATGTTACAGGTATTCCCTTGCATGCTTTAAATGTTATATAACAAATTTTAAAACTACCGTAGAAGTTTAAGGTATTATTATTAACATATTTTTCCTTTTAGCACACTTTAAGATTCCAATGAAATTTACTGGATGTACTACCCTGTGGCTACATGTAACTAACTCTTACAAAATCAAGGTATAGCTTTGTGATAGTTGGCAAAGAAAATTACCAACTTGTAATAGATTTATATATGATTGCTTAAAAGAATCTGCATAATAGTTTTAACAATATCATCTTTAACATTAAATTATGATTTTCAAGTTTTGGATTGAACTCTGGCATTTTTAAAGAAAGAAACCTAACAAAATGCCATCATGAAAGATTTTTTCTGAAGATATTTTCAATTAAGTGATATACAGATACCACTTACAACATTTTTAGTTTTTTTCTAAATACTCAACTAGAAAATATTATTATAGTAGGATGATGCAAAAAATAACATAAAAGCAACCTAAAATAAACATTATTACAAAGTAAAAACTAAATTCTGCTAGTAAAAAGTAGCCGAATTAACATCGATAAACGTCTTCACTTCCATTAGTACCCAGACATTATTTTTAAAGATATTTTAACTACTTAACGGTAGAGAAGATTTGAAAAACAATATAAGCCACACACACACACACACACACACACACACACACACACACACACATTTAATGTACCCTAAAGAAAAAAGAAGAAATAACAGTATATCTTCTATCACTGTTTAATGTGATTAAGTTTTTCAAAAATAAAGTACTAACAATAATTTGAAAATTCATTTCTTATGAGTGACCGAGGCTATGGTCAAAGGCTACAAAAATGAGTAAGTCTTATTTTAACAAGAATTATTTCACCATTGGGGAATTAAAAATATATCTGCATCAAGCCAAAATACTAGTTAATTGTGACCTTCTTCCCATTCATTCTATCATACATCTATAGCCTCTCATTTGAGATAGAATTTTTTCTTAAAAAAAAATGTATTATCAGTCTAGGCAAGTAGTTCTCAAAATACATCCTAAGATATGCAGAGTCAATATCGCCTGGGAACTTGTTAGAAATATAAATTCTCAAGTCCACCCCCAGCCCTTCTGAATGAGAAACATGAGGCTGGAATCCTCCAGGTAATTGTGATGTAGGCCAGAGTTTAAGAACCACTGGTCTAGATGACAAAATACATATTTAACTCCTACTGTTAAAGTTAGAACTGATTCCCATTACAACAGCTCATATGTGGAGTTCTTAAACGCAGAGCCACCCCGCAAGGCGATTTCGGTACGCCACTACCAGCCACTCCCAGCCACGATACCAACCTCAGTGGCGGTGGTCTCCCCGTCGGCTGCAGTGTCCGTGCGCTCACTGTCGGTCTGTTGACCACAGAAGGGATCAGGTTCCAGGAGGAAGGCAGGGACAGAAAGTAAACCATCTGGTCAAACATGGTCTGGCACAGGTCGGACAGATCATTTTCTTTCTCTGTGATTTCTCTGTGTCATACTACCTTCCCACAAGAACACAAGTTCAAGCAAAGCAAGAGAAGGGCCAGAGCTAGGTGTCATCAGCAGAGCCAACTCATAGGAAGACCTGAGGCGCACTCAGCTGCAGGAGCTGGGGAGCCTCACTGACCTGTCCGGTTCTATGTCTCAGGGAAACCAATTTGTCATCCCCACACCCCTCCTCCAACTTTTAACTAAAAACCTCAAGCAAGATCTCCTCAAAATGTTTAATGCAAATAAAATGGATGTTTATATATATTTTATTCTAGTACTATTTCATATCTGAAAGGTAAATGAAAATGTCAATTTACAGAAAAAGCTACTGTAACAGTCACTGGACTTTCAGCCCCTCATTTATACTATTATGATAATTTACATCCATCTAAGGCCATCAGGCTGTCCGCATTACCTGTCAATTATAAAAGGCACAATGCCAGTGACTCACAGGTAAATATTTTTTATGGGAAAAAAATAACTCAATTTTCAAGTAGCGTTGCTAACTCGATATTTTTTAAGACTGCATGTTATTTTGCCCCACCCTCCAATATAAAGAAGTATACTGAAGTAAGTATTTAAACAACTTGCTCCAAAAATACCATTCAAATGAAGCAAATAAGAAGAAGAATTGTTGAAACAATAGACAGAGAGAGAGAAAGAGAGAAACATCTACTTGGAAACAAATAAAACAAAGCACAGCATTTGACAGAGCCTAGGTTTTGAGCAGAATGAGAACAGTAATTTCAGGACTAGTTTTTAATCTGTTTCACAGGGGTTTATGACTTACGAGCTGTTTTCTCTTGAGTAGAGGAGAGCCATGGACATCTAAATGTCCTAATATTAACTGACTTTCCCTCCACAGATATCAACTAATCATTAATAAAGTTCCCTTCATCAAATATTTGTGATTAATATTTTGAAAACAAAAATCAAAATGGGAAGGGTGTCTATGATGCTGAATCTGGTTCCGAAAATAACCTCCCACTACAAAGAACAAGAAATGTCAAGAAGGGACAACTGGGACAGTGCTGTTTCCACTGACAAAACTAAACTCCGGCTAGGCTGATTTCTTGGCACTAGCTGCGTGTTTCATGTTGCATACTCCTAAAAGAAAGGGAGGCTGAACACATACTCAGCACATGTACCTCGGGACACCATTCTGGCACCTTTGCTACCAAGTCTAAGTGGAAAATAATTTTCTGGAGGTTGGTAAGGAAAGCATGTTGACACATTTTCGTGACCTGACCAGCTTGGTTAACAACTGGGGGCAGCAGGTGGCTGTTAAGTTTCTTATACAGGTGATCGTTGCTATGGGATTAGTATGGCTGTACCGAGTGACAGCCCTGGGAAAGGCCAGTTTGAATTAGTAAGAGAGACCAGTTATTTGTTTAGGTGTACAGAATAACTCAAAGATCTTAGGCTTTCAAGAATAAAATAAGAATGACTTGCACTTAGTGTTTTATTTTTTTAGACAGGGTCTCACTCTGTCACCCAAGCTGGAGTGCAGTAGTGCAATCTTGGCTCACTGCAACCTCTGCCTCCTGGGTTCAAGCGATTCTCGTGCCTCAGCCTCCCTAGTAGCTGGGACTATAGGTGCACGCCACCATGCCTGGCTAATTTTTGTACTTTTAGTAGAGGAAGGGTTTTACCATGTTGGCCAAGCTGGTCTCAAATTCCTGACCGCAAGTGATCCGCCTGCCTCAGCCTCCCAAAGTGTTGGGATTACAGGGGTAAGCCACTGCACGCCCAGCTGGAATGACTTGCATTTAGTGTTCTAATTAGTTGTGTCAAACACTTATAAAACTCTTGAAAGTGTTTCTCCTCCAGTCTAGCTTATTTCCCTTATGGTTTTAAAATTGACTTCAGTAACTTGCAAGCATTTTAGCATCAGGGGGCAGTGGTCGTTAAGAGGGAAAGGTTTAATGTCAGATGAACATGAGCTCAAATCCTGTCTGTTCAAATCTGTGGCACATTGGGTACTTTTTATATTTTAGTCCCAGTTTCCTTCCCATAAAATGGGGAAAATAACAGCCCTAACTGTATTGGATAATGGATATTAAACGCTTTATATAATGCCTGACACACTCAGAGCTAAAAAAATGCCTATAATAATTATATTATATAGTTACTCCTATTTTTCTTAGCCACATACAAATAGCATAGTCCATATATAAAATTTCTTGAATTCCTACTTAGCATCTAGTCAGTCTGTAGTATAGTGCCTGATCTATAGTAAATAAATGAATAAGGCTGAATAAAGCAGTTTTTATATCAACTGGTATTTCTATAATGTACGATGCCTACATAAAACTGCAAATGCATAGCATATCGTAAACTATCACATAATACTATGTTTATGTAATTTAAAATGTTATAAATCAGTTAATCAATTTTTCTTCTTCTTGATTTGAACTCATCTCTATTTTTCTTTGTATTATCAAAAAATTACTCAGAAATACACATGTAATAGCATTTTATAGTTTGGGGAGGTAAGTTCATCTCATGTTTCTTGACAGGATATTTTGATATCCTGCCCCTTCTTATTTGACCATTCTGAAAGTACAAAAGAAAAATCATGACTGGTCAACAGCTTTATAATGTGAAATGATGAAGCCTTTTTATACTGGATTTCACTCTTGAGAAAGGCTGGAAATAAGCCACTATAACATGTAAAAAATGTAAGCAGTGATGATATAATATTTAAAAAGAATTAATTGCTAGTGACTTGGCAAAACTAAAGTGACAAGGCTGAATTGTATGTTAAGAAGTCACCCAGTGTAGCTGCCACAGGGCTTGAGGCCTAGAGATGAAATCAGGCCATGTGAGCAAATGGCAATTTAAATAAAACAATCCAGGATGACCTCAATATGAGTTCTCTAGCTCAGCCTGCACTAGAATGCACAGCTCTTAACACTTCAAGAGACAACACTGAACAGATGGCTAGTTACAGAGTCTGATGGCAGGAGAGCTCTCATATGGGCTGACTAGGGCTGCGGAGAAGGGGGATGAAGACTCCAGTAGTCAGTGCTAATTCATGGTTTCGGAGGTTTGCGATAACAAGGACGGTTATGACCGGAAAGCTCCAATCACATGTTCACTAGCTTGTAACAAGTAACTGCTGTGATTTGTTTTGCCAATGTAATGCAGACATGCCCAAGTTTAACATTAATTCTCATGCACTGATTACAACAAGATGTATACCCTGGATTAGGCACAAGATCTGTGTGGTTTGCTATACAAAAGTTCAAACATTTATTTTGAATTTAGAAAAGCATAAAACAGCAATCTTTTTTGCCTTACGTTAGCTTTTGATGACTAACTCCACTGTTAAAGGAAAAATATATCTCCATGTTAGAAATCAGCTAATAAATAATAAAATTGTCTTTGTAGACAATATTGTGTTCTTAACTATAATATGTTCTAGTCCAACACTATTTGATAATATTACCAATATGAGAAATAGTGATATTAAAGCCTAGGATTTCAAGTAGTTCTCAAAATATTTTTCATGTGTAAAAAGTTATTTATGTATCAGTTGGAGCAAATCGTATAACTCAAGAACCTTGAAAATGTCTCTTATGTAAAATCTTTTACTTAAAACACCTGTGAGACCGTTCACATTTTTTTTTCCTTCTGCTGCAAAGAAATGGTCAGAGTTCCACTAACTAGAGATACTCGCACACCCTCAACATATAATACTACATACTCACAGGTGCGGCTCAAATTATGACTTTCTAGCTGAGCACAGAATCAGACTTTCTTTCCTTTTTTAGCATTGCCTTGACTTTGTGACTTTTGAAAAAAATGCTAAGAGTATTTTCCTTTTCTCCTGTCACAACAGCTCTTGTTCTGTGGGAACAGGAGGGCTGCAGGGAGCCTGGGGAGAGGTGTGGGCAGGGGCGTGCATGAGAGCAACCGGGGCTTCTGGTGGCAGCTTCTATTATTCTTCCCCGCACTCTGTTTGAAGCCTGGAGAAAGAGAAACTGCTGGGCTGTTCACAGGGCTGTGGGGTGGTGGGAAAGGAGAGCAATTAACAGGAAAAACTACCGGCTACCATGTCAGCTTGCCCAATTGCTCCAGTGGGGGCCAGGAGCCTGCCGTGCAGCAGCATGCCTTTAAGGACGGAGGCTGATGGTTCAGGGTCTTTCCCCCACTATGTCCATGTCCGGCTGGCAGCCACAGAGGCCCAGCCTTACCACACTGTGAAAACGGGGGGATTTTGAGGCTCATACTACAGTTGAAAGAATCGCTGTCATATTATCTGCATTGGCATGGCTAGCACTGGTGAAATTTCAGCCTGTCTTTGCATTGTTTGAAAACTTCACTTTAGTCCTTTTCTGATTGTGTTTGAACACTGCTGCACTGCATGCCGTTGCTTCTGGGCCTGTTTCTGCCCTTACCAATGGCTGATGTCATGTGGGTGCTTTCAATTGCTCTGACACAACACAATGCGGGATCTGACTGACAACCTCTCTGTGAGTAACAGTGACTGTCCAGCAGTGATGAGCAGAGAGTGGTGGGGACATTTCAGGATCTTCAGGGAGGAGATACCTTTGCAATTTTAGAAAGCTACCCAGGTGACAATGATATATCCCCTCTGGGGATGCGTTCTTCCACCTCTCCTTGACTATCATTTAGGTTGAAACAACTCATCATTGGTCTTATATGTGATTTACCTTATTAAACAATAACTGATCAGAACTTTCAGCTTAGCCCTGATCTTTTACATGGCTAATGGGTTACATAAAATTGACTTCTGGCTGAGTCTTTCATCCCACGTAGAACTCAGTGGGTAGCAGAACGATTCCGGGTTGGGCTCAGACTGCTACGTCCACATGGTGTTGTGCCTAACCCTGGGGCCCAGGTTGGACTCCCCAACACACAGAAACCTCAACATATTGGCACAGACAATAAATGAGGCTCTGAAAGTAGGACCACTATGGCAGCAGCCGGCTAACACTGTTTCGGACTCAAGCACGGAACACGAAGGGGAAGCGTGTTCTATGCCGAGGTACACACCTCTTCCTCTGAACTGTCACTCGGGTCATTGTCTAGGGAGGCGCTCAAGGAGGCCGCCTTGGGCTCCAGGTAGCAGAGGCACAGAGCCAGAGGGAAGGAGAGAGTGAGAGCGTATGGCACTGAGAAGGAGGCAGACAGCAGAAAGAAAAAGATGAAGAGGAAACAGGGCACGAGGGACGGTGAGCGGATCGGGAGGTAATGCTGCAAGCTCTGGGGCAGGAGGTTGGTTTCAGAAAGGTTGGGGAAAGAGAGGTACCCATCATCATCTAGGAGGGAGGGGAATGACTCGGGGAGCTGCAAGGAGAAGGAGAACAGGGTGGTCCCCTTGCCAGTTTGCTGTCTGTAGCTGAAAGCCACATCTTGATCCCCTAGGTAAGGCCTCCCTGGGCCATCAGAGTCCAAGGCGGGCTCTCCGGGCATGTGCTCAGCTCTGGACGGCTCGTAACCTGGCAGTTTACAGTCATTCTCCTTACACCTCCTACGGAGCTCTGTGGGAGATGTGGGGGCACAATGGGCGGATGGGGGTGACAAGGGATATGAGTCAGTGCCAAGCCCAGGTGACTGATGTGAAAGAGACAGAGAGAGACAGAAAGCAGCAAACAGAGGTGCAAAAGGACAAAAAGAAAACTGCAATTAGTTAATTTTCTTATGGGTATCAATATAAAATTGTAAAACAAAAATTTTAGCACTAGGGTTGCTCATGAATGTTAAAAGTATTCAAGCTGCATGCCAATGTTGCCACGAATGGCTACATTTCTCCCATTAGACCATCATATATGGGTGGAATTCTTTAAAAACTCAGAACAGAAGGTATTTGTGGGCAATCCCAAAGTCTACACATTTCACAAGATCAAAACATTTCATTTTAGACCAACACTCTAGGAAGTTTCAGGTTTTGGGGAACAAACATAAGTAAATCTGATAACTTAAAATCAAGACTTTCAATAACCTTCTCCTGATTTTCAGGTAGCACGGCTGTTACTACAGTTCAGCTAGATTAAAAATAAAGATGAAATCCAATCCAGATTTTGATTAAAAAAAAAAATCTCTAACATTAGTCCTTTCCTTGGTTATTCAATTACATCCGAAACAGAGAGTTTACGTTCTAAATGAAGTTGTTTCTGGCCCCACTCCTATCTGATAAGTAGTTACAATCAGGGATTCGACACTTAGCACTTCTGAATATCTCACTCCTCAAAAAGAACTGAAGTTCCCTTGAAAACTCTATTTTGGCTCCTTTACTTAGGACATTAGTGGAACTTCAACTCAAGTGATTTCAACAAGCTAACTAGAAACAACAATGTGTTTTCTTGTAACACGCTTTGCCAGTATTTACTTTCTATTATTTATGATGCATAATAATAGAAAGATATAATTTCCCAGCCTTCTGATTTTTCTTAGCAGATAAAGGGCACGTTTAGATCTTTGGTTTGAGGCCTTAATATAATGATAACAGCAGGGTTTTCCACAAGTGCTCCCCTGGTGAGCGCAAACTTTAATGGGGTACGTGAATCTACTTCCCCTCTCTCTCTGGGTCCTGGAAGTCTCCGCCACCAGCTCCAGTTTCCTCTGCAGGTGGTGGAGGGGTTGCTGGACAAGAAGGGGAGGAATGAAAGCACACAAGCCCCATACCTTCCTGTACCTGCCCCAAGCCCCTGGGCAGGTATAGGAGCTGCTGCGGGCCGGGAAGTCCAAGCCTGAAGGTAATGAGACTCCTGCTGATGTCTGTGTCACTGCATGTGTGTATGTGTGTGTTTTGTCCAGTGGCCTGACAGCATGGAAATTACCCAGCCTGCCTTGTGTGGTTATCCAATCCTGACTTGGGGAGAAGTGGTAAATAAAGCGACAGAAAGAAAATGCACAAATAAAGTTACATCTGAGGCATGAGGGAAAGAAAATGCACAAATAAAATCATAGCCCTTCGGCATTGGAAGGGTCTCTTTCTACTATGAGACAAGTATGTCTTTTCCCACACACTCGCATTTGACATTGAAGACGGCACTTTAAACAGGAACCTGCACAAATCTCATTCAACTAAAATAATGTAGGTGCTACACTCTAACTTCTGCATGAAGACAACTGTCCTCCAGCGTGGAGGTGAGGCGGCCCCATGATCTGGGGGATCCCAGCCTGGGAAACGTGCCTCCTTCCCAGGCAACCTAGTGGACCAGCCTTTCAAGAACTATTTTCAGTAATACACTTTCATTTTGGTTGAAAAATAAGTACCCTCTCCGTTACTTTTTGAAGATGGAGTAAGATAAAATTAAGGTTGATTTTACCTTCCATGCTGATTATTGAAGTCATTTCTAAAAGACAGCTTTGCACTGGGGAAACCAAGCCAGCCACACCTACACGAGCACCAGATTTCAGCTACAGGCTTCCTGAAGACGTTCTGCCCACAGTGCTGGCTTCGCAGAGACTCAGGCTATCAGGCTGGCAGTGTCCTTTGTCTTTTTATTTTCCCACATCACAAATGGCACCGAGTGAGGACAGCTTAGTGCTATGATTTACATAAACAAACTTGTGTTCTTCTAAAATCAAATAAAGCAAAAATGTCTGGCCTTATCATGGGAGCAAAACTAAAAATCATTTACACTGATGTGTCACTTCTTCATACTCATACATCCACGGGAATCTTATGTTGGCATGGCGATTTTACAAAATGTTAGAATAAGAAGAAGAACCATGTATTGGTTTTTTTGGGTGGATTATCTTCTTTTCTGTCCCCTTTAAAGTCTTCCTTGACTGAACAGACAGGAAGAGTGTAAAAACAAAATTTAGAACAAAGCACATTTTAACAGCAAAAGTTATCAAAATAGCCCTGCCATTATTTCCTACTCTGTGCCTAATTTTGTGTTTGCCAAATAAATGATCTTATCCTAAAAAATAAAAGATGATGGATTGGGTCATTTGTAATATTTTAATATAACTACAAAAATGATTTGTCTATGTTAAGATGTCGCTGCTAAATTCTTGCCAAAAGGAACACTTTCCATAGAATCCGGGGTAGTGATTCTCCATCTCTATTTGAAGAGCCCATGTACAAAAGAGCACTCATGAATCAAATTTACTCAAATTTTAGGATAACCATGAGTTATTACGAGCATCTTCATTCTGCTGTTTCCTCTTACTCTATGCTCGGTACAGGCCAGGAGCCATTCTGTTTTTCCATTATTATTAGGTATAAACCTCCTGAAGTGTTTTTTGACTTTTAAAGTATTTTTCTGAAAAGTTGCTTTGTAGTGCTGATCACCAGAAAAAAAACATAGTGTTTAAAAATTATGTTAAAAAAGATACCTAATTTGGGGTGAAACGATGTCAGAAAGTTTAATGAATTAAACACTGAAAGAAGAAACTGCTGCCAAACTCACTTTTTATCTTCTGTTGCAACCTTCTGCCTTAACATCCCTTTTCAAAACACGGCCAGTCACTACTTTGCTGATTAGATTGTAAGTGAAAACATATAGGTTGTGGTCATGTACTTACAGCCAGAAGAATGGTAATATGATAATTGCATATCTAGAAAAATATGCTGTACTTAGGTAGGAGAATGGGGCCAGAAACAAAGAAAACAACTTTAGTGACAGTTCTGAAATACGAGCCCAAACAGAAAAGTGTAATACGCCACCAAAAGTATTTTTAAGATACACATACAGGACAGCTATTGAAAGTCTTACATAGCACACAAGTTATTAAAATACAAATTTTCCAAGAGCTATGAATGAATCTTTCAGAGGAAAAATGTTGAAACAGGAATCATAATCTAAAAATTGTCATATGAATGTGACCAGTGCTGACATATGATTTACCCTAAATCTCAGCACATTCCTGGTTTACAGCCTCAGCATCATTTAGTCATTCTTAAAAGCTGCAGCAAGCTCTAGCAGGCAGTCTGGGAGCTATACCTTTCCCTCGTGCCGGATGGCCGAGACAGGCGTGACTTCTTCCCCCTTCCTCCGTTTGTCCTCTTCCTCGTCCCGCTCCTCCTCGGCCTTCTTCTCCGGAGTCACAGTGGTGATCAAGTTGGTCTGAGAGATGCCTTTTGTTGTGGCGTACTGGCCAGTACCAACCTCTGCAGCAGACACAGAATCCTTCATGTATATTTCATGGTTTTCATTCACTGATGCTAAAAGCAAATGCAATTGAAGAAATAAAATCCAAAAGAGTTAGGTCAGAAGACAGATGAACAACACCAATTTTATCTTTACTGAAAATAAAGAATACCATCACAAAATACCAGGTTTGTCTTGAGAAAACAAATCAGTGCTTCAGGGACCTTCCTGTAAGCACAAGCTTCCTGTATTTCCTATACCAGCGCTTTAACATTCTTGAAATGCTCATGTCTTGGAATTTCCTCTCTCCTCAGGCTCTCTGGTGAGGATGTGTGTAAGTGTGGACATGAGTGGAGGGCCACGAGGCGAGGCTGCTGCTGGGCCTGTTATCACCCGGAGTCACTGGTTGGCACTGGCACCAGTCTCGTAGTGGCCAATTCCACACCTAACGGCAGTCTTTACAGTACACAATTGCTCTAACACACTTGGCTCTTTGGAAGTGCCATTCACCAAGAAGCACTGAACTGGTTTTCTTATTATTATTATTAATGTTGAAAAGTCTGTCACTCTTACAATATAAAAGCTCCACGGGTAATAACAAAAATTAACCATCTTGGTGGAGATTATAAAATACAGATGGCAATTCTATTCGTCTACAGCACAGAAATGTTTTCATTTCTACTGCATTTTAAATGGGCTACCATAATATGCATATACATTTACTCATCTCTATTATTTTGGGAAAACAAAATGAATGTTGCTAAATGAAATTCATGCAAATACAAAACATGCAAACGCAAGAGAATAAGACATAGCCTTTCATCCCAGCTAAAACGTCTTAGTGAAAAGATGCTTAATTGAGTTAAATCTTAAAATTTGGTACTCATTATTTTAGGTTTCAGATATAAAATTTATTAAAACTTATAAATGTGGCTTTTCAAATACACAGTAACTAATCACAGACAAAATATAATCTACATTATTATGTTAGGAATTTTAAAATGTAAATAAAAGGATTCTGAAATGAAATCCTCTCTGAAATCCTTTTGAGAGCTAAACTATGTCACTAAAATATCTTCACTAAGACATTTTATATCTCTCTATACTATTGAAAAAGCTCATATGAGACAAAGCTTCCTAATAGACCAGTTAGGCCACCCTCTGTAAGATGCAACCTTGCAAAAAAGCGGTTTCTGTTGCAACATGCAGCTGTGCCACCCAGCTCAACAGCAGCAGCAAACACTAGAGCTGGCAGGACTGCGAAGAGTGAGAGACAGCACATACTAACATCACTTTTGGGCAGGGAGAAAGAGACAGCATGACGTTAGTACACTGATTTCACAACTGTCTTCTGTCTTCTCAGCAGTCATTATCACACTAAAGGTCATAAGGAAAACAACATTCACAACAAATGTGTTCCCTGGGGTGCACACCACTGAACAAAGTGGATATTCAGGAAAAAAAAGTGCGATTCTACAAAGTTCCTCAAATACTACTAACATACATAATAATACATAATAATAACTAATAACATAGGTAATAGAGACAACCTAAAGGAGAAAGAAGAGTCAATAGGATAAACCACAAAGAAAAGCCTCAATGTTAACATGGATATTTCAATATCTTAATTCAGCTAGAAACAGTCCTGATAACTATTTTATTCAAAAGGGCTGGCTCTAAGTTTGGTATTCCGGAAACTCTTAGAAAACACACAATGGTAATGAACTTCCTAGGCTAGCTCACAAAAACCTGTAGAAATAATTATCGATATAAAATGTGGTATAGATATACACCATGGAATACTACTCAGTCATAAACATGAATGAAATCATGTATTTTGCAGTGACTTGGATGGAGCTGAAGGTCATTATTCCACATGAAGTAACTGAAGAATGAAAAACCAAATATCATATGTTCTCATGTGTAAGTGGCAGCTGAGCTACGGATATGCAAAGGCATGTAGAGTAATACAACGGACACTGGAGACTCAGAAGGCAGACAGTGGTGGGCGGAGGGTGAGGGATAAAAAACTACATATTGGGTACAATGTGCACTACTCAGGTGACAGGTACACTAAAAGCTCAGACTTCACTACTATACAATTCATCCATGTAGCCAAAAACTGATTGCTTGTATACCAAAAGCTACTGAAATTTTTTTAAAAATGTGAAAAAGAGTAATTATCAATATGATGATTGAGATAATTGCCCATGTAACAAGAGCGCTTTCACATATATCTTGCTTTTCACAACGGCCCCATCAAAGGCGGCCTTATTCCTATTACACAGATGACTGCAACAGACCTGGAGAACTGAAATCTTTTGTCAACCACCGCAGAGACACAGGGCAGCAGAGCCTGGACTTCAATCTGGATTTACCGATGCCACATGAGTACAGTTCCCACCTCATTAGTAACATACATAATACAGCACTAATAATGCCATTTTGATTTCTTCTGTAAACTGTTCACAAAGTATTCCATTAGAAAAAGACAGTTGTTTTTAGTTGGGAGATTCGGGGAGCACCTCTCCCCATCAATCACTCGGCTGGTGAAATGGGGAAGGCAGAGCTGAAACTCTCAGGGGAACAGTGGCAAAAAAGGTAGGGAAGGAGATGGTCTCAGGCACTTGTAACTTTTGTTTATTTTTATTTATGTTTTTCCTTATTATTTAAACCACGACCTGCATACCAGAAACTCCTAATTCTTTTTATTTGCACAGGATAAGATCTCCTATTAAAAATAAACCTCCAGGTGCTCCAAATTAGAAGACAGAGACCCAGACATGATTCAGTTCCAGAGCATTGTTAAGCAGGCATGCCTTGCAGCAGAAAGCGTACCTCCATGTTACTCCAGAGAGCAATCATGAAACTTCGATAAAACAAAACCCTACTAAAAATTCACTGTTGTGTTATCCCCTAAAAAGGTTGTTTGAGTGATCATCTCTCCATTTGACTAATTTGACTTGGCAGTACAGAACCCCTACACAGCGCTGTTCTCCCAGTCCATCTGGGGTAGTAATTAGCACAACTAGGAGAATTTAACTTATAGCCCTTTGCTCTGTTATTTGCATGTCATCCTTTCTACTAGCTATTATCAACTAACTGATAAAGGCCACACTTCATTCATGAAGATTTTTTAGAAACAGAAATAAATGTAACTTACAGATTGATAAAACAAATAGTCTTAAACCTACCAATCCTTTAAGACTTGTTGGCAAGAGAATCAAATCACAGAGTATGTGATTACTATATTTAGAATGAGAGCATCTTTCTCCAAATTCGGGGTGTCAGTTTATGAAAGCTATTTTCTTCATTCCCTGATGCCATTCTTTCATGTAATTTTACATAAACCTGCAGATGTTAGACTGACAAAGGGACTTTCATTTCACTGGGGGAGACTTAAAAATGTGCCATTCAGTCAATGAGCAACAAATGCTTTTCAACGTACAATATCCAGGAATATCTATGCTTACTGAAAGCTCATGACAGTTTCATTCTCTTTTTGGGGTAGGTACTAGGTTACTAAGGGCCAGTAAGTGATGCCTACCTCCATCCAAGCTGCGAGACATGGTGTAACGTTTGCTGGAAGAGCGTTCAAAGTAAGGTGCTGGGCGATCTATCAACGCACTGGCTCTTCTCGTTTGCGCTTGTGTCCTGCCACTGTAACGAAACTTGGAACCCAAGGTTAAGAATTTCTTGGGAGGTGCTTCTGGTAACAACAGTCTAAAGAGAATAAAGAAAAACAGCAGAAAGACTATTAAGTACAATATTGAGAGTGCTTTTTAAACTTTTTACTCTGAGAGGTCGCGTGTGTTGCGTGCTAAACGTTTAACACACAAATTGCAGTTAAATAAATCTGATTTCATAAAAAAATGCACATAGTATATATCAACTAGGGATGTTGTAGAGAGGAGATATGCAAATGAGGGTTGTACTGAACTAGATGAACTTTTAACATTCCACGCAAAGTGGACAGTCTATGGTTCTATAAGCCCAAACAGCAACTAAATAGATTGATATTAGTTAAGAAGAAGAGTGATAATTTGTTGTTGGGTGCCTAATTTGATGGGTCTGATACCATGCATAGGTAGCTACAGGGATTCAGGGATTAAGAAATCACTGAAATAGTAAGGAATTGAAATAGTAAGGAATAGATTGGATATTTGAAGTGGACACCTTAAAAATAATGTAAAGACACTAAATATACTAAAGAAGAGGGGGTTGGGACACGTAAGTACATGACAAATTATGGAAACTCCTTCAAATTTACTCTTTTCCTAGTTCTTTTAGGATTTCTTATCAAGAAATATGGTGACAATGAACTTGAAGGAATAGAAATAATAAAATTTCATATTTTTCTTATTGACAATCTTTTTCAGTATCAGTGATGATAATTATTCCTTAGGGAAAAAACAAAATAATCTCTTCCTACCTGAAAAATGTATGATGCTCAACACATACTTTCCACAAACGCTTGGCAGCTCGATGGTTTGGCAGCTTAAACCCAATGGTGCTTTCAAATTGTTCAAACTAAATAAATAAAAAAAAAGATACATTGAAGAGTAAAGTTTAAAATTATAAATAACAGAAGCCCTGTAAATAATTTATAAAATCATAATGCCACCAGAATTTAAAAAATTTACTTACTAGATCAATTGCTACATGCATAATTCATGCTATACACATTCATTGGTTAATTTCGAAAATGTGTCTTTAAAATGCTGCAGGTATAAATAGCCACATTATGCATACAGTAAAATGTCTTCTGAATAAGTGTGTATCTTATGATACTACTGAACACAAAAGGGTTTTTTAAAATTTATTCCAGAAATCAATTTGTCCTGATACCACTTTTAAATTTTATTTTCATGGTTTCTCAATGACACAATGACTTCAACTGCAAGGGACAGAAATGAACCAAATGTTCACAGATACAGTCTACAGCATTCTTAGAAATGACATTTTTCTCCTAATATCTGGTCAGGAAATATGTATATTTCTTAGGTAGTTGATAACTTGGTGCCAGAGACTGCTGATTTTATTTGTGTGTTCCACTATGGATTATCGTGTTAAATACTAACGTCTCTCTATATCATACGTAAGATCAGAGATTGGGGGAACACATTTTCATATCTTTTAGCATGTACATTTCAGATGATGCTTTATCAGCCATCTGATTTTTTGAGGTGAAATACTCATCTCATTTCCTGCATAATATACTTTATTACTGCAGATGCACAGGTCTTCACATTGTGAAGAAAGTACACATCAGACCACCAGAGGGCAATCATCTTAAACAGTAAAGGCTTCCCCAAAGAGCAAACAACCAGTGCTACTGCTATAATCAATAGCAAAAATAATTTATGTGGCAAAGAACCGAGGTGAGGGGTCATATGCATGGCATGTGAGATACAATCATGTTTGACCTCTATTTCTTGTTTGCTGAGGATGATTAGGGGAAGTGGGAAATATATCGCAATTGCTTCAACCGCAATTGCCTTTCCCAACTTCTTATTCATTCTGGATGTTCACGCGCAGTGGTGTTTGTAAAAATCACTGCTGTCCAAGGGACCCAGTCAAGACAGATACAGTGTAGCTGTGACTAAACCATCATCCATTTATTCATCCTGCAACTAATATGCACATATTATGCCAATGCCAGGGGTTATATGGAAGAGTCAGCTTGCACTCTGCCGCAAGAAGCTGGGAAGAGTCTCTGCCAACCTCTAGGCAAGGAGGATGCAGGCTCCTAGACTACCTGAATAGGTATTAATAGTTTATTAATATCTATTTCTCTGTGTTTTATATCAATTTCTTTCAACTTCTTCAGAGCCTGTGTGTTCCCAATAATTTCTTCTCACTCTTCTCAGGCTGTAAATAACATCGTAAAAACAGAGAGAAGAGGAGTGAAAAAACAGCTTTTTCTGAGCCTGTTTCTGCCAGCACCACAACCCCATCTCGCGCCTCACTGCTAAACTTCAGGAAGCAGAAGCCACTACCTGCTGCCTCTGCTCCTCACTCCTGACCTCAACACGCCCTGGCAGGTGCTCCCCACACCTTTCTGAACTCTGAAATGTCATCATGGGGCCTGACTGTCAAGTTCAACGCACTTTTGTTAGTCCACATCCTGCGTGCCCTTTCTGTAACATATGGTACTACTAGCTAACCACTTTCCTCTGAAACTCATCTCCTGGTCATCCATCAGCCTATGTTTCTTCTTTTCTCTCTCTGGCTGTCATTTCTTCATCTCCTTGACCCTTTCTCAAATAGTAGTATTATCCAGAGTTCTAGTTTTAGGGCCTTTTCTTTCTCTAACTTGTCTTGCTCTTTGAGTAATTTATTCCATGTCTAAGGCCTTGAATAAAATATATAGTTGACAACTCTGTTCAACTCCTTCTTATGCAAGAATTACTCCCTGAAAATCTGTTCCAAAGGGATTTCAATTGTTTTTCTGAAAATTTTCCCCTTTTCCCTCCTGCCTAATGTCATCTCCATTGGCTTCAATCATGCAAACTGAAAACCTTTGATTATCCTGGACTCTTCCCTCTTTTAATTCCTTCCTCCATCCTGTCTCTAAGATCTGCTGCTTCTGCCTCTCAAACCTCTCTCTTGAATTTGTTTCCTCCAGTCTATTCCCAGAGCCTCTGCCCTAGTTTAGGTCTTATCACATCATATTTCTAAGTAGTCGAATTTCATTAAGAAATCTATCATTCCAAAATATTCACCTAGTTGTGTCACATCCTGATTTAAAACCTCCCATGACTCACTAGTGTCTGCTGATTCATTTCTCCAGCTCTCCCCTCTGGCCTCTTACAATACTACGCTCACTCTATGCCTATAGAATATCATCTCATTTGCATCATGCTGTTCCAATCAAAGTATATGAATCCATTTTTCTGCTAAACAGAAAATTCCTTAATAAGGAACAAGGTCATATTTGTCTTTCTATTTCTAATACCTGACAATAAATAGGTGCTCACTTAACAAATGTTCAATGAAGTCAAATGACTATCTATTGGCTATAAGTTTAACACATAATCTTTAGGAAATATTTTTAAAACACTATAATTTTAAGTATTTACATGAAAAGCTTACAAATTATTTCAGTCATCATAGATGGGTATGATGTTATACTCATATTAAACATCATTACATGCTTTATATTTCAATTTTTTGTTGTTTTTGAGACAGGGTCTTCGCTCAGTCACCCAGGCTGGGGTACAGTGGTACAATCACGCTCACTGCAGTCTTAAACCCTTGGGCCCAGGTGATTCTCCCACCCTTGGCCTCCCAAAGGGCTGGGATTACAGGCATGAGCCACCATGCCCAGCCGATATTCTGATTTTAAAAATTGCATTTTCCATCAAGAAACTCCAGTGGAGAAATAGATTTTGAAGATAAGAGATAACTCTATATTATATCAGAAAACATTCAGAGAAATAAGTATGCTAGAATCTTTGAGCTTTGACTGCCTCCATTATACTAACCACACCAATTAGAAATTTGAGGTATTTATTAACTATCTCTTAAGTAAATAAGAGTAGATATGTGTTACTATTATGTACAAACTACTAAGCAAGATATAAACATAAGTTGATCATGGAGGCTGTTGTCCAAGGAGTAAGGACTAGTTAACAATTTTGATTCTCTGATTAGCTTCTCTGACTTATAAAAAAAAACAAGCATATATTGAGCTATAGAACACTGATATAATTCACACTCACTGTCCTTTGTTCTAATATTCCTTGTACCTTGAAGTACATGACCTCTAAGCTTTTCACTTTAAAGTACAACCCGATTTGCAGGACAAATAGGAAGAGTATGGAGAAATAACAACAGGATGTGGAAGAAGAGATTTCTCCATTACTGTTTGAAATATACACAAAATTATTCATGAAACTGGATTTTATATTAAAATGTTTTTAAAAACCCTTCAATTAATGTATGCAGTAGGAAATATTGGAACAATATGAAAAAGAAGAGAATATTTTATTTATTACTGTTTATTGGGCAAATCTACAATAAATTTTCTCAGGCACTTAGATGTAATTCACCGTGTCCCACAATGCTCAGAACTCATAAGTAGATAATTTAAATGTCTGCTTGCTATCAGGGATTTTCCTCCTAACGCGCATGCAAATGTGGGTGTACTTACCTCTCCTGGCCGGATCTTAATGTAAAAGTTGTTCCGTTTGTATGAAATCTTTAGAACCTTGGGCCAGGCAAATCTGTTTATTCGCAGCCGGTCGCGATATATCAACAGACCACTTGCACAAACTCCTAACATAATTTCTACCCCTTCTGAGTCCTGGAAAAAACAGCAAGAAACAACAGATCAGTATCTAACTTATTTCCATTTTCTGCTGGGTATAATATTTAAGCATCCACAATAGAAATATAAATGGCTGGTTTACATATGCAAAATGATGCGGCCATTTTTAAAACATTACTATTAAACACTAGCCTTTTGGTGAAGATGTTTATCACTATGGAGAGGTTTGTTAGAGTAAAATCTGCTCTCCCAGGTGTCTCAGACTTATAAAGTAAATACTGCACACCAAGAGGGCCCAGCCCATGAAAGTATGTTAATAACAGTCGTAATAGTAGCCATAGTTCTCACTTGTCAATTGCCAGGCACTGCTCTGCTTTACATATATTCACTCTTTTAATCTTCACTGTGATTGAGATGGTTGTTTATTATTCCCATTTTACAGATGAGAAAATAGGTACAGAGTTGAACACAGCCTGGTTCCAGAGGCGGCACTCTTAACCAACAAATATGCTAACAAGATGGACCCTGACTTTTCCTATGAGGGTTTTGGTTGTTGTTCCTTTAAAAAGAGCCCAAATATTTTTTATATACCATTACTGTCAGACTAAAATTTAAATATGAAATAGGTTTTTTTTAAGTATGAATGAATAAAAAAATATAAGAATGTATTTTCCCCAACAACCACCATTCCCTCCACACAAACACACTGCCCAGTGGTAATCACACTTAGCAATATGGCTCACATATATCAATAATAAATATTTTAAAAATATGTGTATAGTTTTTTTAAGAAACAAATGTGAGATCATACTAGAACTGCAACTTCCTTTTGCTACTTGCACATTTCATGTTCAGGTAATTTCCTAGGGATGTGTGATGGCCAGCGGTCATTAGAGATGATGTGTCAAGCTTAGGAGATATACCACATACAGTCTTTCCCCATGTTGTATTCCATTTAATTAGGGTAAAATGAACATCTGTGGTGGCCATGAATGAAGGAAAAAGATAGGATGCAGGCAGGATTATATGTGAGGTCAGAGTCCATCCCTGGTCCCACTGATTATTGGAATCAGGGGACAGAAAGGGTCATGAGCTGACCACCCATCGGAAGCGATGCCCAGATCTGCTGTCAAGGCAAGGCAGAAGATGGAAATTTCCAGAATCAGAAATACATATACTGGTCCATCTCTGGGAAATGTAAGTTTGCCAACAAAGCATAATTAGTTTAAAATGAAATATTTTACTTTGGAAACGTATCATTCCAAGATATACTGAATTACTCTGCAGGAGTGGAAATATTTGATGGCAGGATACTACAATATAATAAAATTTGAGGAGAACTCAAAGACTGGAAACTGCCCACCATTTATCTAGGACTTTAATGTGAAAGAGTGATTTAAAGAGCTATAACCTGATGTTGACACGCAGCTGGTATTACTGATCCTTTAGAACCAGTCAATCTGTCTGCACCACCACTCAGAGGTGACCACCTTACTCCATCGGCAGAGTGCAGGAATGAGGAAGGACTGCCAGAATCACTTCTCTTTGGCTCACTTTCTTTTTGGTAACTATAGAACAGGACTTTAGGAAATGTACCTTCAACCGACCAAGGGAAAGGACATTCGAAACCTTTTCCTTTATTAGGTAACAATAAAACTTTTAATAAAAACTTTAATCACCTGTTACTTCTTTGAATTTTAAGAAAATAGTAGCTCTCTTCTTGAGGAAGATGAAGAAGGCTCTGATGCCTCCTCTTCTTGTCTCCTCCAAAAAACACCTCTCTGTGTCCCAAAATCAGTTTGTTTATCTCTAGTACACCCTTAGCAAATGGCACTGAAATAAACTATCACTTGTCTTCCTTATCCTGGAGACAAAAGCTGGTTGACAGCAGGAGCCCTATTTATCTTTGTAATCTCACGGCCAGTGCACTGCTTACCTTGCATGCACGAAGCCATTACATGTTTGTTGAAAGAAAAGTGAATGAAAAATGAAAATGACAGAAATGAGTGCAGTTTTTAATTGGATGCAAGTCTCGATTTCATTAACTGCATGGCAAGAAAAATGATACTTTTCATCTCAAATTTTCTGCCACAAGCCACAGTATTGAGGTTAGTTTGAGAAATCTTTTTTTTTTTTTTCGAGAGGGTCTCCCTCTGTTGCCCAGGACGGAGCGCAGTGATGCCATCTTGGCTTACTGCACCCTCCACCTCTAGGGGCTCAAGCAATCCTCGTCCCTCAGCCTCTTGAGTAGCTGGAACCACAGGCAGGTGCCACCACACTCGACTCATTTTTCTGTTTTTGTAGAGATGGGGTTGTGCTACATTTATTCAATCGGGTCTCGAACTCCTCACCTCAAGCAATCCGCCCGTCTCAGAGTGCTAGGATTACAGGTGTGAGCTACCTTGCTGGGCCTGAGAAATCTTTGCTTTTAAAAGTCAAGACAACAGTATTTGTTGAGGACATGTGCATTTCACTATCAATAAATACATGGGCACTCCCTTTAGCAAGGAGCACGGGGGTGGACTCGAATAGTCTCAGTCATCAAGAAAATAAAGGGGCATACGATTTCTTTAATTCGACATCAGTGTTCGAACTTTGCCATCCTTCAGCATCTACTGCTCTGTGGGATATCCTATATGGACTTATATCTACATTTCAGAATCTTACATAAAATAAATGACTCTGACAAAGCCCATCAAGATGCACATTCAATGACAAACAAGCAGAGACAGATGTACAAAGAAAAAACAAAACATTTAGAATAGGTTTTCCAAAACATAGGACCTTTGTGTAATATGCGTGTTTATTCTTCATACAGGATTCCAGCTCAGAAGTTTTAAATGGATTGTAACGCTCAGGGTCTTTCATACCATCAACAGAAGCGAGGCATCTCGCTCATAACCGGAAATTAGCTCCAATTTGCTTCAGTAAATTTCCTTCTTCAAATGATGGAGTGTGGTGGCATGGGAAAATTGAATCTATAACTGAATTATCTGTTATACTTAATATTCAGAAAAATTTCTATAACGCTACATTTGTACTTCCTTAATTCTCTTTCTTTTTAACTGGCATAATTTCAAATCACATTATTAAATGAAAAGGCAGCCATCTATTTTAATTCTGTAGCTATAGCAATGTTAAGTGATTTTATATTTACTGATAGAAACACTGATACATCCTGAGGTGTACTTCCTGAAATGTACACCCTAATCTTTTATTTATTTATTTATTTCCGGGCAGTAAGAGAATCAACGTGTGTGATGTAACTCAAAAATAGCTTCAGATTCACTCAAATTCTCAGGCTCCCTTCATTTCCTTCTTGTTTCCTTATCTTTTAGTCTCTTAGGGGGAAACACTAAGAGAAATTTAAAAATCTTAATGTCTGCTCTTATTTTCATTTTGAAATTCTCACTCCACCTTGTACCTAATATACAATAGAAACATCTTTGTTATCTGAGTGCAAAATAAGTGAAAAAGTGTAATAATGAACTGGCAAGTAAACAGAGCTACACCTGCTGTCGTAATTATACGCAAATGTCAAAGAGCTTGGCATTCAACATAACAGCACATCCCTGGTGTGAGCCTCTGCCAAGTCACAGAGATTTTGCTAGCGCTCAGGCCTTGGAGAGCTCATCCTACGTGACGTGCAGAGTGATCCACAGCAAAACCAATCAAACCTGCAGAGATTCCAGGGCCCCCATTCTCCTCCCCAAATCCCTGGGGATTAGTCTGCTCTCCAAACGCTAACCAAAGCGCAGCTCAACTTCCAGTATGGACAGAACCTACAGACCACAGAGCTCCCTGCAATGGGTCTGCAGGGGTGCTGAGGTGTTTGCTTGAACAGAGCCAGCTGAAATTCTCTTCATTTCCAGGCCCCAAACCCGACTGTGTAAGACACTTGTTGGCCTGGAAACCTGTAACTGCACGTTCTGTGTGAGTCTCAGACCATGAAATTGAGGACTAACCCTGTCCATCAAAGTCAAACACACATCCCTAAACAGGAACAATGTCATCCTGTTGGACCCAATCAGAAGAAACAACCTCTGACGTTTAACATTGACCTTTTAACCCTGCTAATGCATCTGAATCCAAACCTAGGATCCTAACAAATTTTATATGTTTTGCTAATAAAAGTTTTCATAAAAATTTTCTTGTATTTCCACAGGACTTTTATTCTGGGCTGTTTAAAAAGACTAGTAGTCCTATGTTCATTCTACCACTACTGAAAAGTACAGAGATTCCAGAAAAAGCATGACACGGAGTCAAAGCTGCTTTGTGTATCCTCACAATTGTAACCCTCCTACAGTCTCAACCCAAATTCTTTCTTCCCAAGACTCCGTTCCCAAGATACACCTTTAACATTTCATCGATCACCAGTCAACAAAGCAAACCTTAGCCTAGGTGAACTTTAAAACAACAATCTTATTTCAGAGTTCTGATTATTTGTCAGAGTACCTAAACTTTGGAGGTAGACTTCTTAAATTCAGTATGAATTTACTGACTGCCTGGTATGTATCCAGGTAGGGCCACAGACAGTGTCTGGCACTTAACAAGTGTGACGCTTGAGTCTTGGACAATTGGCTAAGTTTGGACAAACAGACAGGAAAGAGGAGGACAGTCCAGAGATGGACATAGTCAGGGAAAGCGTAGAAACAGAGTCTGATGGGAGCAAAGGTCATGTGACGGCACAGAGTGGGAAATAAGATTGTGATGGAGAGGCAGGGTGAACTAAGAGCTTGTTAAGGGTCAAGGTAGGTTTCTAACTGCATCAAAAGGCCATCAGAGGCTTTGCCTATCACGGGCTTTCAGAAGGCCGTGCCCAGGAGTAACACAAGTTTGAGACACAAAGAGCAAACCCCTCAGTAAATATCAGAAAGCTACATTTGTTATACTGTGGAGTAGAGCTTAAAAGACAAACAGAGATTTGAATTCTCAAAGGTTTCATTTACATTAACTGGAGTAAAAGTCACCAGTTTACAGTGATAACAACATCGAGTTAAATAACCATATATAGAAAGTTTGGGGTTTAAAAAAACGCATACCTTAGCATGATGTAAATCTACCCCGTACATGGACAATTTTTTGGCATTTTCCAAGAAATGCATCTCTGCTTCTGCTGGCGTCATTCCTCTGATGAGAAGAAAAATATGTTACAATGATGCTCTTCCCTTCCCTGGTAGGCTGCAATACTTCCCACTTAGCTCCATGCTATCTCATAAGAAGAAGTCCTATGGAGGCACCAGCAGACACATGAGAAAAGAATAAGAAGAAAAAGGGCTTTGCAAGAAAGCACTACAAATGAACACCTGGATGCTCTGAGTGAGAGCTTACCCATCTCAGAATTTCACCGCGCATGGACCCACACTACGCTCAACTCTCGCCGTTAATGGACGAAATCAGTACTGTGAAGAGGTGGGTTATATGCGGGACACTCTCCCATCAAGGCACAACTTAAATGAACGCCCTCAGGGCTTCTGCCTCTAACCTGTGGCTCTTGTGCAGCTCGATCACTTTGTCTTCCAGTTCTTTAGTGTGGTTTGGTGCAAAGCGGAACTCACTAATGTAATCGCTCCCACATTCATCCGGGTCATAGTCTCCGAGCTCTGACTGGACAGTGTAGGAGCCCAGCAAGGCCAGAGTAACGAAGGAGCAGGGCAGCCTTCCGGACACGATGTCATCTCGCAACTGCAAGCAGAGGTAGTACCTTCCAGGAACCGAAAGCACAAGACAACGAAGGCCAGCATGAGGATACAGGAAAAGGAGGTCACTTGGTAAAAACTGTGGGTAAATAATTTCTCCCTGTAGAACAACCTCTCTAGGATAAATTTTCTAGCATCTATATATTTTGATATTTACTTCATACATATTTGTTCTAGATAGAAGGGAAAAAATATTTGGTTACAAAAGACAGTATTTAAAGGCATTTAGAAGCAAGTCAACATTCATAATAGGGTTTTATTAATAAAGCACAGTCTAAAAGAAACTTAAAGACATATTCTTCTAACATCTTTTAAAATAACTTTTAAAGTCAAATGAACAGTCCCCAACACATTTTCTGAAATCCTTGGGTGGGGGAATTATAACGTAAAAATGCTCTAAAATACATTTAGGTGCCACAAAATGATGCTGCAGTCAATGATGGATCACATATATAATGGTGGTCCTATGAGACTATAATGGAGCTAAAAAATTCCTATTGCTTAGTGATGTCATAGCTATCTTAAAGTCATAGCATAACACATTACTCACGCATTTGTGGTGGTGCTGGTGTAAACAAACGTACTCGTATAAAAGACTAGCACATACAATCACGTGCAGAACTTAATACCTGATAAGGATAACAAGGGACTATGTTACTAGTTTATGTATTCACTATGCTATACTTTTTATCATTATTTTACAGTGTACTCTTTCTACCTGTAAAAATACAAAGTTAACTGTAAAACAGCCTCTGGCAGGTGCTTCAGGAGGTATCAGAAGAAGGCACTGTTATCCTAGGAGATGACAGCTTCATGTGTGTTACTGTCCCTGAAGACCTTCCAGTGGGACAGGATGTGTAGTTGGAGACAGTGATACTGATGATCTTGACCCTGTGTAGGCCTAGGCTAATAATATATGTGTTTATGTCTTAAGTTTTTAACAAAAGAGTTTTAAAGGTAAAAACAAATTATAAATTTTAAAAACAGAAAAAAACTCACAGAATAAGGATGTAAAGAAAGAAAATATTTTTGTGTAGCTGTACAATGTGTGTTTGAAGCTAAGTATTACTACAAAAGTCAATTAAAAAGTTTAAAAAGTAAAAAAAATACAGTAAGCTAAGGTTAATTTATTATTGAAGAAAGAAACTTTTAAAAATAAATTTAATGTGGCCTAAGTATACAGTGTTTATAAAGCCCACAGTAGTGTACAGTAATGCCCTGGGCCTTCTCATTCACTCCTCACTCACTCACTCACTCTCTTACTCAGAGCAACTTCCAGTCCTGCACACCCCATTCATGGTAAGTAGCCTATACAGGTGCACCATGAAAAAAAATCTTTCATATTGTATTTTTCTTGTATATTTTCTATGTTTAGATACACAAATACCACTGTGTTATGATTTCCCACAGTATTCAGTACAGTCACAGGCTGTACGGGTTTCTAGACTAGGAGCAATGGGCTTTATCATAGAGCCCAGATGAACAGTAGGCTCTACCAGTTAGCTTTCTGCACGTCCACTCTAGGATGTTCACACAACAACAAAATCATCTAAAGATGACTTTCTCAGCACGTGTCCCCCATTGTTAAGTGATATGACTGTGTGATTATTAGGCCCCCAATTAGCCTTACGGAAATATTTTGATATTAAGGTGACCGGTCTTACCATATGAACAAAACAGATTGCAGGTAACTCAACAGCTATGTCATTATAAACTTCGCTCTCAATTTCCTGCATTCTTAATGAGGTAGTCTCTTTATAATAACACAATTTCTCCTGTTTTTGTTCTCATTTTTAAAATTTAGATAGCTTCTTAAAATTTATCTAAGAGATAAAGATTTCCTACCTTAAAATTCGAGAATCTTGTCACCATAAATAAACGGTTTTAAACTGGAGAAATTAACATTTTCCATATAATTTTGCCATATCATAAAAATATGACCTACATAAAAATATGTTGATTTCTCTTCTCTGTTATTTTGCTTTTAAGACTTACAGATAAATTACTAACTGCCAAATACCTCAAGGTAAGTGTTAACGTTGATGAGTTTTAATAATCCCAAGCACAGCCTCACATATGGACAGAACAAAGCACACCCGGTACCTTGTATATAAGAATGAACTGTTCATCTATGGAAGCAGAGGACTATGATAAAGTCTTAAGGTCCCCTCTAAATATGATTTTAGGCTGGTGACATAAATCCAAGTAATTATGACAGAAAAATCCTTAAACATTTAACAGGCTCTACAAGTATTACATGAGTCAATAGAAAGAAACCATGCACTATTTTCTCTCTCTCTTTTTTTTTTTTGGAGATGGAGTCTCGCCCTGTCACCCAGGCTGGAGCGCAGTGGCGTGATCTCAGCTGACTGCAAGCTCTGCCTCCCGGGTTCACACCACTCTCCTGCCTCAGCCTCCCGAGTAGCTGAGAATTCAGGCACCCGTCACCATGCCCGGCTAATTTTTTTGTATTTTTAGTGGAGACGGGGTTTCACCGTGTTAGCCAGGATGGTGCTGGGATTACAGGCGTGAGCCACCACACCCGGCCCACCATGCACTACGTTTTCAAATCCAGGTATATATGGGCTCTATAACCACAAATTAGCCAAATAAAACAGTTCTTCAACAGCAACTAAAAAGTATCTTTAAGTAAGAAATTATAAATTTTCTCTGATTTCTTGCAAATAAAAGAAATCCTCTGGAACTAATTTTTACCCTTCTCTTAATATGTCTGGTGAAATTATTTTTAACTGTAGCAAGTGACTGAAGTTGTTTTGAGTAATTTCCCTTTTCTGTAAAGCCCTCCAAAAAGAATGCAAAGCTTACACAGAAAATTCTGCACACACTGCACAAAATTGCTTTTACTGGTCATAAACTTACTACTGAGCTGAGCAAGAGAGTAGGGGTTCTAAGGTGAATGCAGAGAAGCCTAGAAGGTCAGAGCACACGAGGAACAATGAACTGAGTGTCCATGACCCCTCCCCTCCAAAACCATATGTTCGAATCCTACCCTCAAGGTGATAGGATCATAAGGTGGGGGTCTCCGGGAAGTGATTAGGGTGGAGCCCTCACGAATGGGATTAGTGCCTTTATAAAAAAGACTGGAGAGAGACCCCCCCTCACCCTTTCAACACATGAGGACACAGTAAGAAGTCAGCATTCTGCAACCCAGAAGCAATCCTTACCAGGACCTGACCTGCGGGCACCCTGATCTCAAACTTCCAGTCTCCAGAACGGTGAGAAATAAGTTTCTATTGTTTATCAACCACCCACTTTATAGTATTTTGTTATAGCAGCCCAGACTAAGACATCCAGTACAGCTTTATAATGAGATCCCCTTTCACACTCAAAGCTATTACCAAACTGAAATATTTTTATGTTTTGATTTCTTTCTTAATATCTTCTTTCTAGAAAACAAATTAATCATTTTCCTTGTATACACAGGACATAGAAAGAAAACACATAAATTTATGTGTGTGTGTATGTGTTGGTTATATAAAAAGCACAAGCATCCAAGGACATTTTTACTCTAAGTATTAAAGCAGAAAAACTAAGAGCTGCTATATCATATAAGGCTGAATCTCAACCAATTTGACTATGGTGGGTGGATGACAGTATCTCAATTCTGCATGCTTTCCCACCAGGGTCAAGCAGAGGGAATATCATCCTGGCACCAAAGATTCAACTGTGAAAAGATAGGATTTGGTAAATCTTCTCATCAGATGTTTGCTCTTGTTCATTTGCCTTTTGTTTGCCATTTGAGCGTGGATGATTGTAAGGCTACCAGATGTAAGCACACTCCTTTCCGGAGCATTGAAGAGAAGCGCAACTCTCCCAGGACGCTTGTCTTTTGCATAGCCTTTCAAATACCTGGTGATATCTTCAGATAGCTGGGCAGGGTCTGGTGGGTAAAATTTCACATTAAATGAAAAGTGCCAAGCACCACCTGCAACGATGGAAGAAAATTAGAGTAAAACCTCGAGAAAATCTTATGACTCTAATTGATGGCCAGAACTGCCTTAACTCCAAGCATTAACACCCAGGCAACTTTTGACCATTAATGGAAAACTGGGAAACCTTGGTGATATGAAATCTACAGATAAGTCTGAAACCTCGTCTAATTTCTAAACTTCTCCCCAATCAAATCCTTTATTGCTACTTTTAACTAGTAAGGAAACTGATCAAACTTCCTACCTTTTTCAGAATCAAAGGTAAGCACTTGGAACAAGGAAAAAACATGAATGATACGAATAATCTTCAATCAGATAAGTCTGGGAGTGGCTGGATTTATTGCTGCGAATGTCTGGATAGCTCACAGACCAACATTACAAACATAATTCCCATTTTCTTTGTCCTTTCTGCTTTGTTATTACAGGTCAAATCCAATTATAATAAACGTCAAGGGACTATTCAACATACGTTTGTTTTATGGGAAAGGTTTGTTGCACTGAACAGTATTCTAGTAAGTGGGCTGCTCTGCGGGCTGTTGAAAATTATTTTCTTGCTCAGGGAAATTTTTGATGCAATAGGTACTTGAATGTATTTTCTGCACATTGCCAAATGTTGCACCTGCACCTCCATAGCCTGACACTTAGCCGGATCCTCTTTATGCTTTGTGATCTTTATCCTGTGGCCTCTACTCAAGGCCTCTCCAGCACTGAAAAGGGTCAACCAGGAGTCAGCTCACAAGCGTCTACTCTCTGTATTGTCAACACATATCCTTGAAACATTATGAAGCCTTAACTAAGCTCCACATCTCATTAATACTATCTCTAATTGTATATGGTTTATCAATATAAACATGGAAAATACCCTTTTCTTTTTTTCTACATTTACTATGTGATCATTACTTTAACTTGTAGTCACTCTGTTCTTCTGGCCTGTAAATGTAGTAACTTACCAAAGTCTGGGTATCCCTTCTCTGTGGTGCTGTTATATTTGTTCCCTCTACCCAAGAAGTACACTAAAAGTGCCATAGCCTAGGTCCTGCTTGTATTTTGAATGGTTTACTAAAAACTCCTCCCAATCCCCCAGGCTTCCACCCTGGAGATCTTTCATCCATGCCTCACCCAGTGGCCACTGACTTGCCCTTACTCTAGGATTCTGTGACTTCACATTCCACCCCTTATGCTTCCAATACTCTCCTAAGACTTCCGAATCTCCCTGTCTCTCCATTAAATGACTTCTGGAAACTTCATTGCTCCATGAGCCCTTCCCAAACATTCAAAAGAAGGTACAGTACTGTATTTCCTAGATCCTTTCTCTGCATTGTTCTCTTGCATCTGAGGCAATATTTAGCTTCATCAGTTTCTTACATTCTGTCATAAATGGCATAGATCCATGTATTACTTATAGTTAAGTCTTAACACTACCACTGACATCACATTTAGGATTCTACATGGCAGGAACTCTACCTGATGCCCTATAGAGGTGCCCTATGAAGGATTTAGCAAAGGACCAGGCATTACTGGGAACTTAATATCATTTGTAAACCATTCAAATACATCTGTCAGTCGAAAACATTTCAGTGAATGTTTTTCCCACTGTTCTCAAAAAAGTCCTTTTGTTTTTCCAAAAATAGTCTGATTTGGTTGTATTTTCTCATTGATTCCTACTCACTTCCTATTAAAATAGATCCCTTCAATGCTTGCCAGTGGTAAGGTTCATAACGAGAGCTGGCTTTCCCCCAAGCAAGTAGAATTAAAACTACTGGATTAGTTATGGGAAATGCATTTATTGCTCTTTTATAATTTTTATTCACTTCAACGCAGGCCCTGAATCCGATGATTAGTTTAGCAATGTAATTACACAATCTTAGAATAAATATCCAAGTTAGACACTAATAAGTAACAAAATATACAGAAAAGATATTTAGTGCCAAAATCCTCATTCTAGGAAAGCAAGTTTCAACCTATAGTGAGCCAAAGAAATACCTGAGGTACCCGTTAAAAATGCCAATTCCCAGGCTCCATCCCAGGAATTTTTATTCCAGAGATTTGGAATATGGCCTAGGAATTTATGGCTTCAGTAAGCTCCCTTATGGTTCTAATAATAAAAATGGTCGTTGGAAACACATTTTGAAAATCACTGCTACTACTAAGGAATCCACTTCCCTAAGGTTATAACACACAAAAAATACTCCTTTCAGGACAATATTTTGAAACAATGGGAAAGTGTACAGAAACTATAATACAATCTACATCTCAATAAGGAAAAAAAAAAAAGTCCAGTTAAATGGGGCATAAAACTGGAAATTAATGAGAGAGGCAGATTAAAGCTCAAATACATATCCCCATAAAGAATGTGACAGAAACAAATCCACTGAGAAGGAAGTGCTTATGCAATAAATAAGTTTGCAACTCTATATCTGCTCAAATGAGGGCCCTAGTTAGAAAGAGGAAATGAAACAGCTTGAACACATTAAAATGAATATTTCTATAATGCTGATGTGGAATTTTAAGTTACAAATTTATGATAAATAGAAAATTGTAACACTGATGATAGTTCATTCTTAAGAAAAATTTCTAATGTTAGTCTTTTAGGTCAGACAAATCTTAAAATTTCTAACATACTGTATTTTTATCATAAAAGTATGATATACGCTCTATGTTATAAAATTACTGTATCATAAACATACTTAAAAATCACAAAACATAGTCTATTTAGACATTTTAAGATCCAGCATGCATAAAAGATGACTGGAGTAAGAATTTTTTTTCATAAGAACTCTTCAGTTTCAAAATTTTCTGTTTCTTAGAAGCAGGGTCTCACTCTGACACCCAGACTGGAGTGCAGGGGCACAATCACAGCTCACTGCAGCCTTGAACTCCTGGGCTCAAGTAATCCAACCCCCTCAGCCTCCCCAGTAGCCAGGACTAACTAATTACAGGCATGTGTCTCTGTGCTCAGCTAATTAAAACAATGTTTTTAAAAAATAGAGACAGGGTCTCACTACGTTGCCCAGGCTTGTCTTGAACTTCTGGCCTCAAGTGATCCTCCCGCCTTGGCCTCCCAAAGAACTGGGATTATACGCATGAAGTTTTAGAATTTTCTATTTATCATAAATTTGGACTTAAGATATTTGTTAGCTTCGTTTCCATTTTCTTAGAGATCTCATTCTAAAGGCATACTGTGAGCCCACAGCATAAAAAGCATGGAAACATCCTTTTATCATTTATATTTTGGAAGTAGAGATGATGGTACAATAATTACATTAGATAAGGTAATACTTCTCTGCCTTCGTTGAATGTAAAATTTTGTGGCAAGAGGGCACTTTAGTGGATGGGAAACAACAAAGAATACAGGTAAAAATATGGAATTCCATTTTTAAAGAAATTCCAATTTTCCTTGTCTCTTTTATCTGCAAGACTGTCAAGTTTTCTTTATGGCAAAGTCATATACACTGCCTAATCTGCACGGTAAAAAAATCCGTTAAAACTCTTGTTTTGATTGTCTTGTCCGTTTAGCTTTCTTCTCTTTGAAAGGATGGTAGAAGACAGTGTAAATGGGAAGTTAAAGAAAAAATGAATCCTATTAATAATAAAAAAGAAAATTAGTTTATACAGCCTTTCTCCTGTCATGATAGTATGACTTATCCTTGAACATTTATATATTTTCAAAGTGCTTTGCAATGATTAATCAGCTCAGTATTCCATTAATTAGATGAATAAGAGAACTTCATGCACACAAAATGTTATGATATATATTCAGCATGTCTACATTAATAACTCTTTAACACTCCTTAGAAAAATATTTATCTTAATTTTTTTCTTAGGATTCCTCAGAACAAAAAATAAGTAGTGTTTTCATCTATTTATCACAACTACAGCTATCTCTGGTTTCCATCTCAATTAACTGTTTCTATTAACCTAATTTGTTATCAAGTTTCTGGTTAGTGGATACATCAAATTTCCCTCAAACATATGGTAAAGATGTCTTAATTGTATAAATAATCTGTCGATTTTCTTATATCTGGAAGTATGGTTATACTTTTGTCTTTCTGGGATATTACCTAGTATTGAACCATTTCCAAACTGCTCACTACTAATTATGTTTTATTAGTACTTGGGGTATTATTTTGACAGCTCAGGATTTTCAAAGGCACGAAGAAGTATTTGCTTGCTCTTTTAATAGCAAACTGTTGAAAACTTTTACTTATTGAAATGGGAATGATGTTCTTATTAATAAACTGCTCTTAAATGTATTCTTTAACTAGAAGTAGTTGTTTGGAAGAATTTAGACTTTACTGACAAAAATATGAATAAAAATGTAGTTATTTTAAGTTAGTATCCATGTTTGTGGCAACAGTAAGAGCTATAGCGAAGGGTAAAAAATTTTAAAAACTCCTCCTCCTCAACCCCTACATTGGATGATATACTTCTGGAGTAATTACCAATAAAATCTTCCTGCCTTCCAAAAGTTTCCCATGCATCTATACAGATACAATTTTTAAAAACAAATGTGATTGTGCTATAGAAAATATTCTGCAAACTGATTTTCACTAAGGAGAGCTAATATGTATTTATATGGCTATTCCATGATTGACTTAATAATTTCTTTATACATGGATAATTAAGGTGCTTTTAGTTTTCTCCTACTGTAAATAGTAAGATAGTGAACCTTCATTTGCTACACAAATGCACATTTTCCTCATTAATACATATGCTGAATAAATTTCCACAAGTGAAATTAAGGGTCAAAGAGTAAGTACAGCTTAAATTTTAATAAATATTGACAAATTGCCCTCTGAAATGATTGAACCAACTTATTCTACCAACTGAGTAAATAAGTGCTATAGTTTATTATTAAACCCTAATTCTTTGGTCATCTGAATAAGTGAAAAATGATGTGTCATTTTAATTTGCATTTAATCATTAGTAAAATTTAGCAACTCGTTTAATACTTATTAGCTACTTGTATTTTAAATTTGTCACTTGCTCATGCAATTGTTTGGTCCATTAAAATATGTATTCTTCAAATTGCCTTCAGGGGACTAGGAAAAGAGGCTGTTACCAGAGAGTAACCTTCAGTTTGACTTGTTATTCCTTTTCAAAGCTATGAAGTGATTATGACTTTTATCTGGCCTTTCATACTTCTGGGACTGTTGGAACATTAATAATGCAGTTTGGAACTTTTAAATGGTTAATTGCCAATTCTAATATCAGCTGATTAAATCATATACTTGACATCTATTCACAGGCAGAGAAATAGGCCAAGCATCGCAGTCCCTTTGACTCCCAAGTTGTGACAACTACAAAATGAATACTATTGGAATTGCCAGACCAAATTTGACACAAGAAAAGCTGGTATTCACACTAGTCACTTAGGTTTAGGCTACAAATTCAGACAACTTGCTCTCTGAAAACCTTCACATTTCCAAAAAAATAATCCAAAAGAACTTACTTCGAACCTGTTTTTTTATTTCCTTAGCAGGGTCCAACCAATTCTGAAAAGGAAATGACATTTTGAATTTGAATCAGAGGAGAATAAAAATGACTTAATGTTGATTAGGTACAGACTCTCCCTAAACGCAGTGAGAAGTCAGTGGTCGTTGGAAGGCTTCCCTCGCTGTGGTCCTTGCCCCACATCTGGTACCCCTCTGCCAAGCCCTCCAAAGGCCCAGGCACTGGTCTAATGAGAAAATGCACATGTATGAAGTTCGGGCCCGACAAAAGTCTTTTTCTTTTATAACCATTGCCTTCAGGGATTCAAGCTAGCACAGAAACAGAGGGGAAAAGGCAGAAGATTCTATGTTCAAACAAGTTACTAGGATAAATTAAAACTATATGTAACTGGATACACTGATGTCCCAGCCATTCAGTTCCACATTAGAGACTTCTGCAATAAAAGATCCTCAGGCATCCACCTAGGAAGCTTCCCTAACAAATCAACAGTTGCTTGTGATTTCTGATTTTCCTCATTGGTAAAATCAGGTGTTTAATAATGAAGTTAGGCATTGTCTGGAGAATTCGGGAGCTATTAAGGATGATTTATGGCACAACACCAAAACTAGTAACAACTATGAGCAAAATTTCTGACTCAGTTTCCAGTGTGAATGCAATGGAAACGATTTCCTTTTCTGTATTTCTGAGGTAGTTATGTGGATTAAGGAGATACAGCCCTAAACAAAGTCTACAGAGATACTGCATTAAACATAAAACATGTACTAAACACATTAGGTAAGTGTCAGGTAAGCACACAATCCCCCTCATATTCTGATTTAAGAAACAATATGAAAGCATAAAAAGATGAATGAAAAATAGGGCAGCAACAATAGTGGACTGCCTTGACAGTTTATGGGTTACAACCATAATATCTTCATAGAATTTTGGGGTATGAGCATGATTTTTACATAAATATCAATTTATTTTCATTGGTTCAAATAATCTACTGAAATATATTACCCGCCACCCCCCGCAAAAGGTACCACATAAAATGCCTTCCAGCAACCACAAATAACTCAAGCATGAAAAACAAGGGTTCATTTACTGTTACCAGAATATTCCAGATTAAAGGAAGCTATCAGTGATTTCCTTCATCAAGGAATAGATGATTAACATTTATAGACTCAAAGTAGAAAGTGTGGGAGTATGAAGGGAGGTGGAGAAAGTGATCCACCCATTCAGTCTCAGTTCACTTTCTGGCAGTAATGAGCAGTTCAAGCCGTCTTATTTTGCATTGCTTTTGATCACTCACCTTCTGGTTTTCAGCATCTCGATACGTAAGCCCAAAGTAGTCTTTCTCTAGCAAGTTCAAGTGTTCACACACTTTATCAAACAGCACTTGTCCTCTGGAGCGTTTCTACAGGAAACAGAAAAGCAAAGCAAGTCAATAGAACACAAAGAAAGTTCTCCCAAACGTCAGAGATAAAACCAGGTAGTATTTAAAACATTGCTTGGTGTAACTTTAGGGAGCGACCAACAAGTGTGGTCACTTTGCCATTTCCTGTTAAGTGCAAAAAAGGTTAAAAAATGGGGGTTGGGGGGTGGGGGGAGGCTTCAAACTACAAAAGCCCACCCCTATGAATAAACAAACAAAAGCAAAGTATCAACAGTGCTACTTAGTACATACGGGTGACCAGTGGCTGATTTCTAAATAGAAGCAACTGAGGAAAATAATATGATGCTTGGAAGCCTAAATATGTGAAATGTAAAAATCCTGACAGTGAAAGAGTATCTAACAAACCAACAAAAGCCATATTGCAGAGTGCCCTAACTCAATTATCTAGATCAGGAGTCCTCAACCCCTGGGCCGTGGATGGGTACTGGTCCACGGTCTGTTAGGAACAGGGCTGCACAGCAAGAGGTGGGTGGCGGGCGAGCAAGCATTACCACCTGAGCTCTGCCTCCTGTCAGATCAGTGGCAGAATTTGATTCTCATAGGAGTGCGAACCCTAGTGTGAACTGTGCATGCAAGGGATCTAGGTTGCGTGCTCCTTACGAGAATCTAATGCCTGATGATCTGAGGTAGATCAGTTTCATTCCAAAACCATCCTCCACCCCGGTCCATGGAAAAAAATGGTCTTCCATGAAACTGGTCCCTGGTGCCAAAAAGGTGGGGGACCGCAGCTCTATGAGATAAACTTCTGAGCCTGAGAAGAATTAACCCTGCTCCTTGTCTTAGGCAGACGCTCACTTAAAACTTTCTATCCCAAATCCTTACTTAGAAATTCTAAGGACCACTTTCTAAAATCCATTAAACAAATTTCATTATTTTTGTTGTGTTTTTCTTTTGTCACCAATTTCAGTGTGTACAGAGTTTTTCTCAACTTTTTTAGAGGAAATCCTTATTAAACATAACAAAATATTAAGTTTAAAGAATACTTGAGTTATCATATATAAATACAAAATAGAGATATATGAGTTATATTTCTGACCATCAAGCAGGCATCTGGAGAAAAAGGTAGTCATTTGGAAAAAAAAAATTCATCGGCTTAATTTATTGTGACGTATCATTTTTTCATCTAATCGTTCAAAGGCCTTTAAACATAGTCATGAAGTCTGTGATGAATTAACTGGCAACAAATAAACTAAACCAGTTTTTTATTAGTGCACTACTAACATTTTACATCTAATACATTAAGCATATTTGTCTTTAAGATTTAATGTAATACCAATGAGAAATATGAAAATTGATCAACTATGTCTATGCCAAAATAATAAGCATTCAAAAGACCTGTGAGTCGTGTGTTGTGTTACTGTGCAGCTGTAATTATGCTGAAAGCAATTACTCAGTCCCCTCAAGCATGACTATTTAGGAGAAAAGGCAAATGTATGATAGAAAAGTAGCCTAAATCATAGCTAGCTAAATAATCAATGATGTATTTGGAAAAAAAGGTTCCATAAAGTATTATGAAAATAAATTACTTGTTAGCAAAACTACATAATAACATTGCTCATTGGCTATGAATAAATATTACGACAATGAAGCCCCTGCTTGCTGGTTTAAATCATTTATTTAAAAATAAAAGCATATTATTTCTGAATAATCCTTCACAAATTATAAAGTTTTCACAAAAATTGGTTCTTCTGATGCTTCTATTGGTATGATCTGCTGTTCACAGATAAGAACAGAGGTTCAAAGCTGTTGGATGAAAGAGACAGTCTTATGTGATGACCTGGGAAGTGATTTTAGAATCAGGTAAACCCGGGCTTGAATCTTCAGGATGTCCCTTGCAGCTATGTAAAATGGGTATGACACTACTTGCTTCTTTGGGATGGATGACATTAAAATCAAATAATGTATTCAAACGTGGTCTAGTGGTGGCATATTTATTAAGCATTCCACAGATGTCAGCCATTATTATAGCCTGGTGGCTGACAGTAGAATAACTAAAGTAGAGCAGATTATTATGCACGTTTTCGATAGGAGCACATATCTAACTCCTGGGGGCACCAATAAGCAGCTTTATAATTAACATGTCCCACTCTTCAGATATCAAATGCCTACTTACTACCTAATCGCTTTAGCTTGACCCTTTTTTTTTTTTTTTTTTTTTTACCTACATACACACAACATAGAAAAATATATATCAGTGTCTGGCCAAATACTTTCTCAATGAGTAAACAAAAACCAAAACAAATGCAAACACAAAAACTTTTCTCTACAAGGCTTCACAGGACCCTATGTCTCCTATATTCTCTGACCCAAGAGACCGCAGCCAGTTCTCAACGGAGGAATCATTTCTGAATATGCTGCAGGCTGCCCTGGTCATAGTTACAATTCGCCACTTTCTGGCTGCTGTGTTCTTTCCTTTGCCTAACAAGAGAGATGGGTTAGCTCAAGCACAGACTGTTAATGCTACCTGGCTCTCACTTGTCTAGTTCCTCGCAATTTGATTTCTATTAATGAGTCCCACCTTTCTCCTAAATAGACCAGACCTTTTCTTACTGAATATTTTAAACACATTTTAAACACTAGTTTTAAAGACAATGACATACTAGTCCACACTGGAGATTTTTTTTTTTCTAGCCCTTAGAGCTGAGACCAGTTGTCTGATATCAACTGTAGATGGTTATATCACAGGATGGAAGCAATGAAATTCTGACCTGCTAAACATAAGCATGGCCACCAGCCAGCTGGGTGACTCTGGAAAAGGCTTTTAGGTTATTTGGGTCTCCATTTTCTCATCCTTTAGTGGGGATGTAAGATTCTACTGGGCAAGACGTTTATGGGCTTGAGGCTCTTACTGGGCTTCTTTTGCAACCACTAATGGACTGAGGCACTCTCTCCCATAGCACCCAGATCGGGCATCAGCATCCTTCTACACATCATGATGAGAAAGATGCTGCCAATGGACGGAGGTGGGACATGACGTGGAACCTATTTTCCAGCCCTGGACTGGATCCCTTCTCTCCCAACTCTAAAAGTTTCTTGATTCTTCTCACCCAGATGTTTTTTTTTTCTAGCATATTATTCAACTTTCCAAGTCAACTAATTCTACTTGTTGATATCTGCATGTACCTGCAGGTAATAATGTTTATCATATGACTAAATCTCAACCATCAATCAGACTGGAAATTTTGGAGAAATTATGTTTATTATGGTTCCAAAGACATGTTGTTCATTAAGTAATCAAATCTAGGTATCTTACTATCATTGGGTGTGGTTACATGCTACCCTATGAGTCAAGAACGGAGTAATTAAAAAAAAAAAAATAGATAGAGGTATTCTAAACTAATGGATAATTTACCTAATCAGAAAAGATTGAGATTTTAGTCTTACAGTTCTTTGTGAGTGGTTAAATCATCTCTGACTCAAAAGCATTCAGTTTGTGTATAGTATTCAGTATATCATCCCCAAAATGTGATTTTACTTTCCTAGAGTAACAAACCAATGGTAGCTTGCCCTCTTCTTAAAATTTCCCCTGACAAACTGCATTTCTGTTTCTGATAAGGTAAACGGACATACTGCAGTCCAACAATCAGGAAAGCTTTAAATGAAATATCCTAAAAATGGCATATCTCCAAGTAACAAGTTTCATAACGTTTCGCACTTTTTCTTTAATTAAAAAATTTTCCAAATTGATTCTTGAAATTGTTGGGTGTTAGGAGATATCTGTCAAAAGAGAACTTAAAGAGAATGAAAAGGTAAGCCAGAGACTGGCTGAAAATATTTGCAAAACACTTATCTGATAAAGAACTGGTACCCAAGATATACAAAGAACTCTTAAAACACAATACGAAAACAACCCAATTTAAAAATGGGCAAAATATCTGAACTGACACCTTACCAAAAATATACAGAGAGCACATAAGCATATGAAAAGATGTTCCACATCCAATGTCATTAGAGAACTGCAAATTCAGACAGCAGTGAGATAGCGCCACACGTATGTTAGAATGGCTAAAATCCAGAACAATAAAAATACCAAGCGCTGGTGAGGATGTGGAGCCACAGGAACTCTTACTCATGGCTGACAAGAGTACGAAATGGTAGAGCTGCTCTGGAAGACAGTTTGGCAGTTGCTTACAAAACTAAACCTATTCTTGCAGTATTCAACAATCATGCTCCTTGGTATCTATCCAAATGAGTTGAAAACTCATGTCCACTCAAAAACTTACACACGAATGTTTATAACAGCTTTATTCATAATTGCCAAAAGTTGGAAGTAACCGAGAAGCCCTTCTTTATGTGAATGAAGACACAAACTGTGGTGCATCCAGATAACGGAATAATGTTCACTGATAAAACAATGAGCTATCAAGATATTAAAGAACCTTAAATGCATACTGCTAGGTGAAAGAAGTTCATCTGAAATGAATGCATACTGTATGAGTCCAACTACAGTAGTCTCCTGTTATCTACGGGATTTTATGTTCCAAGGCCCCGAGTGGATGCCTAAAACCGCAGGTAGTAGTGAATGCTACATATTCTGTTTCTTCCTATACATATATACTTTCGATAAAGTTTAATTTATAAAATAGGCACAGTAAAAGATTAACAATAACTGATAGTAAGATAGAATAATTACAAAATAAACTGTAATAAAAGTTATGCGAGTGTGGTCTCTCTCTCTCCCTCAAAATATCTTACTGTACTGAACTCACCTGCTTTCAGACAGTGACTGTGGGTAAGTGAAACTGTGGAAAACGGTATGGGGAAGTGAGACTGCAGATACCGTTTAAACATATTTTAAACACTAGTTTTAAAGACATAAAAACTTTATGTTTTTTATGGGGGGGGGACTATTGTACATATCATCCTAGAAAAGGCAAAACTAAGTGAAAAAGGCAAAACTAAAGACAAAAAGACCAATGGTTGCCAAGGGTTTGGGGGTAGGGAGGGATGAATAGGTGGCT